TGAAATATATATTCAGCTAAAGAAAATAAATGGTTATAATATTCTGAATTAATGGAATGCATCATTTTTCAGATAACTCTCTATCCAATTTATCCTCTGTATTTTGTCTAAGTAATTAACAGTTTTGGGCATTCTCCTTTAATTTTTAATGATGAAATAAATAAGCAATTCAAAAGCATAGTACATTCAGAATCAAGTGTACCAACAGAAAGAAATTGACAATACACTAAAAAGAACTACATTTACTGTTTTAGTCATAAAATAGTTTCATGTAGAAGTACAACTAACATCCAGAATTTACCAGGTGATAAGTAGTGTTGTCGTCACACACTATATTTGATTGTAGAGAACTACGGGGACAAACTGGCCTTCTACTGGCAATTTGACCTGTCGCAGAAACTTTAGCTGTTATTAGATTCTCTAAATTTTTGCATACTAAATGGAGCATTTGACATTCTTTTTGCACTTACATGACGGTACTTTTTCTAACATTATTAATTTTTGCAACACAAATCACATGACCTAATAAAATTTCTTATTACATTCACATTATAATTTCTTGCAATGAGCTTTTTAATTTGTTACAATACAATTTATATCACATAATATCAGTTTTGGTTGTTCCTCAAAGTAATGGTGGAAATGGTGTTAAACACCTGTGTGCCTAGTTTGTTGTGATTTCGAGAAAAATCGGACAAATGCAGTTTGTCTGGACACTGTTCAGAATTCTAATAAAACATCTGAAAATAAGGATGAAGATTAGAAGATAAAAATAGAAATAGGATTTTTAAGGCCATCTATTTGGATGAAATTGTTAATGCCTTTACTGCAATTACGAGAGGCTTCAATCTGAAGATTGAACATTGATTTCATGCCCTAAAAAGGTTTGAAAAATATATGATTATAAAAATTGTCTCAAATGAGCTATCCAGATAAAATTACAGATTTTTTTTTCTGCATTCTATTAAAATCCAAGATTACAGATTTTTTTCCTTTTGTTCTATCTAATCTAATCTATTAATTTAAATTAATTAATTCCACCACTCAGGTGGCATGTCTAAGTTCTGCCTAAATTAATTCTTACCACCACTTGGGTGGCATGGATGCACATAAAACTGTATACATTTCTGTATTCAAATGTGATTTATATTTCAATAAATATTATTTATATTTACAATGTTTTAAAATGTCAAAACCAGTAAATGATCTACTATTGTTTAAAATTTCACTGAAACTGCAATTGAATATAATTTAATTTAATGAAGCTTTTTACTGGATGCAACTTCATTAATTAAGAAGTTTGGTTACATAAATTATTACCTTGTCAGACTAAGATTTCAAAAATTAAAAACATTAATACTGCTTATAAAGTAGTGTGAAAAAATTACATGAATCAGAAGTTTTGGTAACACCAATCTGGTTTGTGGAGGATAATTTTTTATTAAAAGGTAATCTTTTGCAACATCTTTTCACCTCTTGACATGGTGTCTGCCGAAAACATCGTAGAAAAATGTCGCGGAGAAAACAACGCAAGGCAAAAACATAGTGGTACAAAATATCGTCATCAAAAATAAAGTGGCTGAAAAACTTTACAGTTTAACCCTCTCAGCGTTAAGGCGGGAAAATTCCGTACAGAAGGTTGCCTTCCACATTCATTATACATGAAAATTTCTGCTAGCTTTTAATGTATCTGATTTCAGTTTGGATGTATATTGGAAGAAAAGGAATCAGGTACAAAATGAAAGAGTAATTTTTTAATTAAAATCAAGAAAATATCACTTATTCATGACATTTTGAGGAACTTTGAAATTTCAGGGCTAAACCCATAACGCTCAGAGGGTTAAAAATATCGTGGTAAAAAATAAATTCCTACAAATCATCGCATGACGATAACATCACACACTTGAGATTTAAATATGACCTGCAAGTATGGTTGCCTTCATGGCTACTGAATATAGTCTGAAGAGCTGAACTGTTATAATTTTGTAATTTTAGAAAAAATATTCAAAATAAAATTTTAAAAATAATTAGTGTAAAAAAAAACTCAGTTTTACATTAATTTTTCATAAAAATCTATGAAAAAATTATCCTTGCTTGAGGTTTTTTAAATAAGAACACTTCCTTAATGCAATAATAATTTAGCATTAATCAATGCAAGTAATGTACATTAAATATGTGCATATGTTACAGATATTTGCAAATAATAAAATATTTTACTATGATGTAATCCTGCCACGGATACCAGAAGTAGAAAAACAAAGCATTGATTTTAAATAAAGAATATCTGGTTACTGTACCTATGAACTAGTACTATTTTATATGAGTCGTCTATCATACAGCTACAATAATTTTACTTTTCAGGGCCTGTTTTTCTTTTCCCCAATTTATGAAAACTTCTTATGTTTCCACCCCTCTCTGCTTGTTGTATATTTTAAATGTATATATTTATTTTATTATATTGTTGTTATTATTTTTATTTGTATTAACTTAGTTTTAATTTAATTTCACTACAAAAATAAAAATTTTATTAAAAAAATTCTATTAAAATTGCTTTAGTAAGGTGGAATATGGAACTGAAGACATTCCAAATGAATGGTCAAGAATTGCTGGTTGAATTATGGGACTCTAGTAGTGGATATAAAAGGTATTTTATGCTATTAAGTCAAACAGAAACAACTGTTTTAATTAGTTCCCCTACACATCAAAATAATTACTTGTAAAATGTTTCTTATAAAAGAAAATTAATTCAAAACCAATGTAATACTTTTTTTGCTTTGAAATATCCTTTGAAACATAGGAGATATATGTATATTCCTTTCTTAAAAATAATCTTCTACCTACTTATTAAATTTCCTTAAAATCAAATCTGTTCAAAAAAAAAAAAAAAAAAAAAAAAAACTTTTGTTATTGAATGCAATAGCCAATAGATATTCTGTAGATTCTCAGTGATTGTTTGTGGATTACAGAATGAGTCCAGTTTTCTTGAAATATGTATTCTGCAAGATACCTCAAAGTCCGACTAGATCCAGGTTTTTGAGAATGTTCGGAAAATCGCTGGAGCACTTGCACTCTACTGTAAGGATATGCATTTTTCTTGAAATGGCATTTTTAATATGTATAATACCTTTAAAAATAAGTTTTTAGACTAAAAACATTTTCCAAACTACACTCACGTCCATAAAGTAAGGATAATGCAAAATCAGGCAAAGGAAGAGTTAGAAGCAAAACAAATTTGACTTATTTTGTAAAGCTTATTTATTAAACAAAAGGTAAAGCACAAAAAAAGATGCTATATGTTTGATATTATTAAAAAAATTAGCGATTTTTTCTCCCTGGAGCAAACTACAAAAAAAAACCTACTTACAAAAAACCAATATTACATGGTTGGTATGATTGTTAATACATTGTATGTCTCCCAGACGATGCAATACAGTCCGTACAATGTCTAGGCATGCTGAGTATCAAATTATCGATCTGATCTTGGGGGATATTACACCACTCAAAAAGCAATGCTCTCCGAAGTTCCGGTAGACATGTAAGAGGAGGTTGACGGGCTGCAACTAGTCGGCCAAGCATGTCCCACACGTGCTGAACTGGATTCAAGTCCGGTGAGAATGCTGGCCAGTCCATACAGGTGATATCCTCCGATTGAAGGCATTCGCTTACGATGTTTGCACAGTGAGGACGGACGTTGCCATTCATAAACACAAATTGTGCACCCATGGCGCCCCGAAACAAACGTACATGTTCCAGAATGACATCCTGATAGATTTGGCTTATCATGGTTCCAATTTGAACATGCAGGTCAGTTCTGGAACTCACAATAATTCCACCCCAAACGAGCACTCCTGCACCACCGTAACGGTGTCGTTCAATGATGTTTTCTTGGTGGTAACGGGTACCTGGAGCTCTCCATATGAAAGTCCGGTGAGAATCAGACTGAAAGCTAAACCTGGACTCGTCGGAAAACATCACACAAGCCCACTGTTGCGGTGTCCACCATGCATCTCTCTACTCCAGGCTAACCACAGGCGACAGTGAACTGCAGTAAGTGGAACACATCTGACAGGTCTACGAGCATATAGACCAATCTGCCCTAAGCGTCTGTACACGGTCTGCCTTGAAATTGTCGTACCAGTGGCTGAAGAGAGCTGACTAGACAGGTCTGAGGCTGGGCTCCGCCTCTTCTTTTGGCAGTAACTGCCAAATACCGGTCCTCATTCGGCGTTGTAACTCTGGGGCGACCTGTGCTGTAACGTCTACTCACATTACCATCATCTTGGAATCTTTGCCAAAGCCTGGAGATGACACTCTGGGCAATTCTAAGTTCCTCTGATACTTCCAGTTGGTTACGCCCACATTCCAGACGGCCGATAATTCTACCATGTAAAAAATCATCCAAATGCGTTCTTTGTATCATAACTATTCGGTTATTGAACTGAAATGCTTATAAAGCGCCTGCGAACAATTTTACTTCTTTGTCTGTATTCCTTATATATCACTCTCTTACACTCTCGTCATTGTGACGCACCATAGGTGTCATCTGGTTACTTCCTGAAATTTGCATGTCATTCTTGAAGATGTGTGTAGTCATTTTACGTGTGATATATTTATTTTAGAGTTCGATTTTCACATGACTCCACATTATCCTTAATTTATGGACGTGAGTGTATATAGTTCCATATTTATTTATTTATTAAATTTTCTTTTTTTCGTTGAAGTTTACAAAGGAACTAAGCAACAGTATAACGCGCATGGTAAGAATAAATCTAAAAGAAAATTTTTAATTAGTTTTGAATGGTAGGCAAATTTCTTGGCAATTAGATCCTTGCAATACTGAGTTGAAAGAGTTCAGGGTTTCATGTTGATTAACCCAGTTACTATAGTATTTTGTTACTACCACTTCTACTTTTGTTCTCATTCACCAGTATTCAAATTAATTAATGTATCTAGTTGTAACAAACTTTTTTCTGCCAAAAAAAAAAGGTTCTTAATAAAGTTAGGGGGAAAAAAAATGAAAGCGATACCTTTAGTGCAGGTAGTAGTAACTGCCCAAATCTTTGATTTTCTGCCAATGTTTTGGTAATTTTTCAAAGCCTTTGGCCCAGAAATTTGGTGTGCTCTGAGTTCAAAAACAGATCAACCTCATTCTGGATGTCCTGTGCAGAATGGAAGATAGCACCAGCAAGATGTAGCTGTAGGTGTGAAAAAAGCTAGTAGTGTGAAGTAGAGATGCCAGGGCTATATGGTAGGTGTGGCAAAAGACCTCATATGAGTAAATGCAGAGCTGGTAAATGCAGACACATGTGGTCTTACATTACTTTGATGTAATGTTACCTTTTTTGCACCGGAACTTAGTTCGATGTTTTTCCTCGATAGCAGTATCAACACGGACAGCATCTCACTGTACTCCTTACTGTCAAGTGTTTTACCTTCCCCCAGATACTCTTTGTGGATAATACCATGGCAATCCTACCAGGTATAAAGCATCTGTTAGTCATCTGATCTTTCTGTTAGTCAAATTGTGCTTTGCAACATTGCCGACGGGCTTACTGGGCACAGACCAACTCCCTTTTCAGCCTATGTTGTTGAAGTAAATCCAATTTTCATCATAAGTGATGATCTAATCCAGGATTTTATCCATGTGTTGATAATTTGAGCAGATTAGTGCAGGCCTGAATACATCTGTCCTTATCTGCTCGAGTCAGCTCATGCAGCACCCAGCGATTGAACTTGTACGTCAAGTTTATGCAATGCATAGCATGACTGATGGACATAGCAGTAACTTCTAACTCCTTAGCAAGCTCTCGAGTAGTTGCATACTGATCTTTCACAAGTTTTCGCAGGCCAGCCTTATCAACATCAGTAGGCCATCCAGAGTGCTCTGCTTCTTGAATGTCATAGTCCTTGTTTGTGAACTTTGGTACCAAACCTTCACAGTGTCATATAACATTAGTACCTAAAGCTGTATACATGATTTTGTGACATTCTGTAGTTGACCTTTTGCAACAGAACTAAAAGTAAATGATAGTTCTAATCTGGCGGCGGGATAGTTCTGTTTGAGACACCTTGGACTGAAGGTATGGCACAAATGTGTATCTTATTTTTGAAAATGAATTAAGCAATTTTAGGTTATGTCGTGAGTTATTTTAGTGTAAAAGGAAGTTGTATAGAAGAAACATTCTGAGTTTGCAGAAAAAAATTAACATACCATTTGACCAAACAGCAGTGTTACTTTTTAGTCCAAAAGAACTGTTATTCTCAAAGCACAGTTCTGCATTGTGTTTCCCCTTTAATGCATTGTTTTAACTTTTCATTCGAGTCTGTTGCCAATCAGCAAAATGTAAGATATTTATCTTTCAAATTTAATCTGCCTGTTATTAACAAATTAAGTTATTTAAAAGCAATAGATGCAGTTCTTAAGTTTTTTTTTTTTTTTTTTTTTTTTTTTTTTTTGCTTTTAAATATTAATGACTTAATGAAAATGCATTTAATTCATGTTATATCATATTAGAAACATTATATATATTATAGATATAGTTATAGAAATGCATTATATATATTTTTTCCCTTTTCCAAATATGCAGAAGCTATATAACGTTCCCATATTTGCCTAAGAAATATTCATCTGTTATCCTATAAATGTTTCACTACTCCACCTGACCATCTCAGTTAATAATCTTTACTAATAAATCATATTAAACTTTAAATGAGCCCTTTTGAGTGACCATTAAAATCTGAACCCTTTCATAATTTTTTTTGGGAGGGATTGCAAAGAATGTTCATAAGTTTATATATAGCCTTCTGAATTAAACCAATTGCTGACTCATCCTGTGATCAAAATAGCGAGTTATCGGCCTCTTAACTAATTCAGTTACAAACACAGCTAAATGAATATTCAAATTATTTTCCCCCACTGTCTTGGTAGAGTAGGATTAAAACTTGCATAATACCTTACCAGAAACCTAACAAGTGGTACTGATGGGACATGATTTAACTTGACACAAAGCTTAAAGCATTGAATCAAATTAATTCTGATAAGAACCTGGAACTCAGATACACCTGACTATTGATTTTCTATTAGTATAAACATTACTGCTTATAAACTGTAAGGCCTCTTTTTAGCTAATATCACTAGAGCATGAAACCGCAAGACTTAACTTCACCTTGAGTGAATCATTCAGCTAATATATATATCTTGATCTGACGTGATCTTGTTTATGCTTATAAAATCAAAGCACTCAAGACAGAGTGAAAATTAAATATATTTACTAATTAGTTTCAATTTACCTTCTAAAATATCTAATCTAAAATACCTAGGTATAAAATAATTTTGGTTAAGTTTATAACAACTTTGTAGCCACAGTAACAAACTTAAGAAGAATATTTTTGAGAAACAGTACATGAAGCTATAAACATTCCTTGAATTTGACAACCATTTAGGCAGTGTTCAGATGGAAAACATTTCTAATGCTGATTATGTGAGAAAGAGATTTTTGAATTTATAGTTTTAAGCAATTTTATATTATGGCATCTGGAAAAATCAACTCATCCTAGTCAGGAATTAAAGATGAGATATTCCAGCTCCTAGCTGAATATACTGACAGCATTACCAATGTATTACAAGCTTTGAATATGACAGTTGTATTATTAGCTTACGTGGACAAGCAATGGCTTAATTTCCTTACATTCTTTTCCCAACTTAAATAGTGACTTCAAAGGACGAACAGTGTCTTATTCATGCAAATTCACTTTGGTGATGAGTTATCATCTAACTCGTTTTAGTTTGAGAACCACCTATTTCAATTCGGGCATTTCGTGGTTAGAAATCTGGAAATATCAATTAGGTTTTCTTTGAGTATCAAATCTAAGACCTTACTGTTTGCCACATATAAGTCTTAGTTATCACTATATAGCATTAGTATTTTCATTCTTGCTGCTGTTCTATAAGTCTTAGTTATCACTATATAGCATTAGTATCTTCGTTCTTACTGCTGTTCTGCATCATATTCTTACCACTGCAGACATCAAAGAATCTAATGTAAAAGCAATTCTTTTAGTTAAGTTGGCATTTCTTAATTTTCTAACAGTTTGCTTCTTACTGGGGGAGGATTTTTTTTTTGGGGGGGGGGAATAAAAATTCATAAAACTGTGCATTTCATGTGTTTAAGAGAAGCGGATTAAAATTGACTAATGGTAAGAATTAAAAGTTTCATGTTTATACTTTTTCGTTTTAGATGCCTAGAACTGACTATACCATTTCAGGATACTATTTATTTTTTAATGCGTCAAAATATACTAGCATGCGAAGAACATTTATTCCATTTCCATTATCTAAATTTAATTGTGTTTCGTTATAAATTTCTATTTTTTGGTAGGATTGAAGATTGCAATGATGTAGAGAAAGTTGATGGTGTGATTGTGGTGTATGACATCACAAATTTAAATTCTTTTAAAAGAATTCCAGAATGGATCACTCAAATTAAGGTAAGTTAGATAAGCTCTAATACACTCATCTGCATAAAGTTTAGTATAATTTGTAATTTTTTAACTTATAAATTAAAAAGGAGCTTACAAAAATGTAGAAGCACGGAATTTCATAATTCTGAATGCTGATCTTTGTGCATGCATTAGATTCATAAAAGAGTAAATCACAATTGATACATTTATATCACTTTAAATTTTTTAATGTATTTAATTATAGTCAGTCCAGCTTCTAATTAGTGCTCACTCTGAAAACAGACCAAACATGTTGATGCCTGCACTTCACAATATTTGGCTTCTGTGCAGCAAATCATGTTCTGACACTTGCTCATTTATGAACAGGAAGGTCATGGACATGGCAGAGGTGTGATTACTACCTTTGGACAAGACAATGCCATTAGACAATGATAAAAGCCAATGAACGTCATTCACATTTTTGAAGTCATAGTTGTAATAATAGAGTTGTATTTTTACTTCCTTGCACGAAGTAAAAAGAAAGTATTGTAATCGCGCAAAGTTTCAGGTAACATATTTCAACGAAAATATCCATTTTTACTGCTATCGAATGCAATTTAACAATGTTTTTGCATGATATCTTTACGTAAGGACAGAATAAAGGACTCTTTTCTTCCCAAAAAATTATAAAACTGCTTTAAAATGAATTCTGAAGAGAATTTTTTGTGGTGTCTGTACGAACGTATGTACGTATCTCGCATAACTCAAAAACGAGTAGCCTCAGAACGTTGAAATTTTGTATATAGGACTGCTATAACATGTAGATGTGCACCTCATATTTTGGTTGCGATCAGCTGCACCAAATGTGTATAAATATATTTATATATATATCCACTCTGTTACCCGGCTCAGTAATCTCAGTTTCTTTACTCTTATATGTTTGTAAATTGTACATTTTTTTTGCTTTAAAAATGATTGAATTATGTTTTTCTTATCTTCCGGTTAAGATTTTTATGCCTTTAGTAAATCTGTATGCAATACTTTTAGAATTATCACCAATTTTAAAGTTGTTCAAGTGCCACTAAGCCTAATAAATTTTTTGATGGTGGCCATTGATTGTTTACATTTGAAACAGCATGAAAGTGGATTTGTTGCCAATCTAGAGAGACTTAGCTTCACAACAACAAAGATAATGCCTTCACTTATTATTGCAAATTAAATCATGCTTAATCCTTTCTGGAAATTTTTCGAGGAAATAAGTGTTTAAGATTTACTTCGTAATTTTTAATACAGGTATTTTGAGTTTTTATGTATTTTTGTCTTGTCGCGAAGTGAGAACTGAATTAATTGAATGAGAAGTACTCAATCGTTTGTGAAAAACTGTTTCTTTTGTGTTTTGTTTGCTTAATTTCTTTTATACATCATTCTAGCTTTATTATGGTATTTGAATAGAACATGTGACAATGATTAGATAATTCTTTAAGTGATATAAATTTTGTGCATTCTGAGTTATATAATATGAACGAAATATAATACTGTTAAGTGAACCTAGCACCAGAGTGTCACTATGGTAAAGAAATAGAGTGAATTTTAAAAAATGCTGTTATTCTATTGTGGCTTATGCGCTGTCGGCGAAGTAGATTTAATTCAATCCAATAAGTTTAAATGAAATGCAAGAAAAAATGCGTATAATTTAATATGCCGTACAAGGAAGTCATATGGTGTACACATCCGATTTTTGTATTTTACCTCTAAGCCAAAAGTTAATTCATATTGTCAAAGCAAATTTGAGCCTTCCATTAGCGGAAATTCGTGGGATCAAGCTTTTTACTTAATAAAATTACATTGGTTTGCATCTTTATGGACAATTACTTCTATTTCCACATGAATGCCCATTATTGAGAAATATTCATAGAAGTGGAGTATCTGTTAAGAGAGGTTCGACTGGATGTCGATCTGTTTTTCAGCACAAAGTTGCCTAGTCACTTCATTTATTATACTGCTTATATATCGATATAATTTTGATTTCTATTCTGAAATATATTCGATGGCCTGTAACACCTACTTAAAGAAATGAAAAATTTAACAAGCCAACATATATTATTTAATCATATATACCTTTTGAAGTTTATGTAATTTATGTAGCAGTTATTTTATGTTTGGAATCTTTACTATCACTTCTGTCTGTCTGCTTTCCCACCAGAATGCAAATTAGCTCACTTGTATTTAAGTGAGGGTTTAAGATTGTCCAAGTCAGAGCAAGTTCTGCCACTAAAAGGCCACATTATCTAGATAAGAGTTCCTGTCTTTGGCATTACTACTTGCTGATAGTTAAATTCAGTGAATTCCGAGCCAACTTCACAATTAAATTACTCTGTGTAAGCCTTTTGCTATTAGTATTTAAGTTAGATTTACTTTTGAATTTCCATTCTGAGTTCTCGCCACGCACGGACACATATATGTATATACATGGTGGGCACTAGCCATTTCTAGGCTTTTTCCACTACAAAGGCTGGAAGTGGTAGTCATTTTATTATGGAAGTGGCCACCATTACCTCCTCCCTATGAAGGGACCTATGCCTTCTCCAGGATTTGAACCGGGGTTGTTTGGTATCCCAGCAGGCTCTTGTAACCACTGTAACATCTGGGTGGCCCTCACTATAAATGTTGGCAAATTTATAAGCACCAGGAGTCTCTTCGGTACTTTTCCATTTTGCCGGTGCAAACGATAAAGTCGCCAATAATGGTACAGCTGATGCCAAATGGAATATCCTCGCTGGTAACGTTGTACGCTTCATTTTCAAAACAAGTCGCAGCCATTTCTTATCAGATTGATTGTTTCTTTCAATACTGGCATACAATTACATAGAATTTTTACAAAGATAGTTAAATTTTATACCCTAAGACCTTGTGGTAATTAAGTCAATTAGGGTGCAATCACATCTCTCACCTGAAGGCGAAAATATAGGAAAGGCAAAATTAAGGGTTAAGTTCATCAATTCTAATGAGAATGCATTAGTGAAGTAAAGCACTGGGGTTTTACATAATTTCTGAGTAAGCTATTCATACGAATTGAAATAATTCTTGCATTTAAACTTGTATTCCAAATTAAGATTTAACATGAAATTAATGTAGATAATTACTGAGAGAATTATATTTTTGTAGCGTAGTTTACATGAGATGAGATCACTTGGGGTCACATGTTACGAACCAGCGAATCAGGATGTTGAACCATGATAGCATAGTAAATTCTTAAATTCAAGTCTTTTTACAAATTTATTGTCTTTTTACAAAATTTTAAATCTCATTAATATGCTTATGCCTTCAAAATAAAAACTTCTTAGAACTAAAATTTTTTATGTGTATACTGTATGCTGTCGCCAACAAAGTCTGCTTGGGGAGATTTGCACTGACAAAATGGAAAAGTACCATCTCTTCTGTTCATCTGTTAAAGTTTAAAATAAAAAGGATCTTTTACACTCTTCTCAAGCGTCTGTCCTCTAATTTTAGACAAAGCAATAAGTCGCTTAAAGCAGGGTTCGTACACATATCTGCACATGGAAATTAAGCACTTTTAAGGACTATTAATGAAAAAAATTAAGGGCCTAAGAGCAAATGAGAACTGAATAAATTCAATTAAAAATATTATATATACCTAAAAATAAAAGAGATCCGTAAGTAGGATGAACTTTTATTAAACATCACTTAACATAATTATTAATACGTTTCAGAATAAAATATACTTTATGAAAATTATCAAATAGCATTAAATATTTTAACTTATAATAACTGCACATATTTGAAAGAAGATAAGTGACATTTCAGTTACGTTTTACTAACAGTTAGCTTCTTCTTCTTTCTTTTTTTTTTTTTTTTTTTTTTTTTTTTTTTTTTTTTTTTTTAATGTCTCATTTTGTCACATACTTGGTCAGTCTAGAGGTTTAGTAAATAGTAAGTAGTATCCTATGATGGTTTACTTGATCTGGTAAAAGTTTAATAGTCCACCCCCCCTCCTCGACAGATGTGAAACAAATTATCGCCATGTCTCAAAATAACTATAAATCAGAGGTTTAAATAAGCTTCTTATTTTAGAAGAACATAAAGGCATGTTCTTATGCTAACGAAATCAATTACAGCTCATGGTGATGTAATTAAACAAGAAGAGTCAAATTCAAACTAAAAATATGGACTAGTGGTCAAAGACTGTACAATTTAATTTCAGTTTAATGTGATTCAGTAACTTTATCATCATAATAAACTCAAATTTCGGCAGTGGTAATGGAAAGACTAATAATTACAAATTATCAGAGCTGACAGGAACTAAAGCAGGGAACAAGTGGAGGTCAGAAACACACTCTTGTCTTACACTCCAAAAACCTCAGTTTAAAAACTGTCTAAGTGATTTGCATTATGGTGAGGAAATAGAAATGGGAAATTGTAGTAAAGGCTGAAATTGTAAACAACTGGGTAATTTACATAATAATAACTAAATATATCTTTGAAGAATAATTTTCTTTCTCTTTACATATTTAGTTCCTTTCTTCAATATGTTTCCTTTCACAAATTTTTTTTATTTAATTAAAGATTACTGTTATTCTAAAAGACTAAATACATTTAGAATGTATGGGAAAAGCTGCTAATTTTATTTTTTTAGTAATACGAACATTTGGAAGAAATATGAAATACATATGGTAAGGTTCGGTCACAGAGCTGGTGTGGCATAATTTTTAGAATTTAGTGACACACCAAGCAACAAAGTCTAGAAATGGCAAAATTTTAAGAATTTAGAGCACGCACTGGAAGCAAAATTTAGAAAGGCAGCCGAATTTAGGGTCCACAGAGACTGCGTCAGGTGGCAAAATGCATAGCACCAGCCCTGTGCATGATGCATTAAAAGACATATTAGATGAATCTTTTGAATTGTCAGCTTTCAATTTCTTTATTAATAAAAAAATTTCTTTCTATAATGCCTGCCCATGTAAGATTAGAAGCATTTTTGATATTTTCTATGCTTGTGTCTAGTGAAAAGTAGAGAAAATAAAGGGAAGATAAAAATGTTACTAAAGTGATTCTAGTATCAGAAGGAAAACATTCAATTATTATGTTTTCATTATTCGTACAGATGTTCTCCAAAAATAAGAAATTGTGTGTTACTACCATGGAGACATTTTTCATTTTGTCACATTTTTCTGGAATTTTTTAGAATCATGGCTTCAAAAGGAAAAAAATTTGTGAAAATTTTTTCACAAAAAAATTTGTGAAAGGAAACATATTGAAGAAAGGAACTAAAATATGTAAAAAGCTAAACTTTCTAAGCTGCAATGTCTAAAATCCTAAAAAAAATTTACTCCTACCAATTCTGTAACAGCAAAAAGCCAGAAATGTTTTGGGGGGAGGAGGGGAAAAATCTGAGGGAAAAAGTGTTAAATTATTTTATAGAGAAAACTGATGCATATTCTGAGAATTCTGAACATTCTGAGAAATGGGAAAAACTCTTACCATAAAAAAAAATTTAAAAACATTTTAAATTAATTATCTAGCTATTTTGCTTCTGCTAAAAACTGTTTTGTAAATTGTGTTTTATAGCATTATATTTTGCTTATTTTTCAGATTTAAAACATTGTATAATATGGGGCAAAAATGGAACTTTATAATATGACAGTGAAAAATAAAAATGCTTTATTTTAATGTTATTTTTTAAATATAATTCCAATATATGACCCTTATTTTATTGAAATTTATCAATGTTCTAAAAAAATCGTCAAAAAATCCCAGATTTCAGAATTAAAAATTTTCTATAGAAACCGATCTTAAAATTACCAAATTTATAACTGTTTAATTCTTTTGAATTCACATCCCCCAAAACGGAAAGTTGTTTAAGAGCTCTTCATTACAAAAAATGAAATAATTTCAAAATGCTTGTTTCACTTCTGTCTCAGAAACTCGAGTATCCTATCATGTATATTACAAATAGGAGTAAATTATTACCTATGAACCCATTAAAAAATAACCATATTTGTCAGTGAATCATCAAAAATATTCCTGCAAAATGCTAATTCATACTCAAAATGGCAGTCGTAAAAACAGACAGAAATTTCAGATGATTAAAATTACGGACCTTCTGCCAATTTTTGGCAGAAATTAAAGACTTTTAAGGACCAAAAATCGATTCCAAAAAACTTAAGGACCATACTGCTAAAGTCGACAAAAAGGTTAAGTCACAGTTTACAGCAGTAAAACATGTTAAATCATATACAGTAAGAAAAATTAATTTATTTTATTGTTTGTGTATTCAACTCATATAATATCTATACATACTGATTTAAAAAGGAAAACTAAATACATTAACAGAATATCTGCACACTGCTTATAAAAATTTTAATATTGCTTTTACTTTTTCCTTATGCATAGCAATTCGTTCCAGATGATGTTTTATTTCTCATATTAGGAAGTCACCAAGATCTATACTCTTCCAGGCAAGTCTGTTTAAATGATGGCTTGCAAACAGCTAATGTAAGAACATTTTCCATTTATTTTCCTCTAAGTATTTCGTTATTATTAGCATATAACTCCCTTATTTTCTAAAAAATTTCTATGTCCTTAACACTTGCATAAACTAATCTTAACCTATTTAACCTGAGTTTGCTAAAATATTGCATATTTGTATTTTCATATTTATTTTGCTGTATTTGTTTAATTTTGTTTTATTTATTTATTTTTGAATGCATTATCTTTATTTCTACATCTGATATATAGGTATAGATCATTCAAAATGTGGCAAGATATTTTTTTGCATAGTGCAGCTGTGTAATTTATAAATGCAGCTGTAATTATATGGTAGCTCATATAACATTATAGAAAGTTAATGACTGAAGTTCTAAACACGATAAAATTAAATCAGATTTATTTTAATTAGTCCAAAAATAAAGGAAAGTTAATGTACATCTTTTATGTGTACATTCGCTGATTATAGAAGTATAGATTCTGACTTTAATGCAGTAATTATGCTGTCAGAATTTGTAGATTTAATCAAAAGATTGATTGCTAGTTTTAATTCCTGCAGTGACGTGAAAACTTTGTCGTCAATATTCCCATATATGAAATAAGAAAATGGTCACAAGAAATATGATCACAAGAATAAAATCTAGCCTGTATATAGACCATCTGACTCCTTTCTCTTGTGAATTTAGTATATGCATTTAAATCAGTTATTCTGTCACCAATTGTTGTGATCATTTAAAAAATATATATGGCAAAAGAACATATCTGAGAACCAAATGATAAAGCAGCTAACAATAAGCAACAAGAATCAGCATAACGACTTTAAATATACATTAATATAGACAGCACTTGTAAATCCGTTTCATATCCAAATCTTGGAGTACCTATTGCCGACCACCCTGCAAATGTAAACCTCCAGGTGATGTTCCAAGTTGGAGCCTGGGAATTCTCAAGTATATTTTCCCTGGCCTTTCATTATTATTATACCTGAAAACAATCAGAGTGCACTCACCATTTCAGAGATGCCTTGAAAATTTGGGTAAATGAGAGTCCAGGAAGTCTCTCCAACATGCCCAAAAAAATCTGAACAAGTGCACAGCACCAAAGTGTGTTCATTATCTTAGTGAAAAAGACAGAGATTTCATCTCTTGTGTTATCCAGCTCTGCTAAGAGCATATGTTTTTCCTGCTCACTGTTTCAAGAGCATAACTATCACTCTGTGGACAGGCTCACAACCAGCTTTGACAAGAGCAACTTTCTACATTTTTCCAAAGACAACCAGTAGCTGGCTGTCTGCTACTGACACAGCACCTTGCTCATAATGGCCAAAAGGAATTTGAAAGACATGCTGTTACTACACTTTTCAGAAAAACCCTTGGGAAACACTAGCATCTGACTAATGGACAGGAACGTTCACAAAGAATAATCTTTTTTCCTCCTTAACATGAACAAATGAACACTTTATCTAATAAATTAGTTAGACATAGCTTAGAATTTTAAATAAATGATATATCCTACCCCCATTTGTTCTTACATACTTAAATAGCATACTTAAGTTGATTAATTTTTATGTATGCTATTTGCATGGAATTAAATACTAAGAGAAATATAATAATGCTATCAAAAACTACTATAATTGTCTAAAACATTTCCAGGAATATTGTTGAAAAGTGTAAAAATTTAATTTTAGAGATAAGTATATCAATAAAATTTGAAGGGAAACAAAGAAATATTAGTAAATAAAATTATCAAAAATGATTTGATAAGGAAATGAAATTTCTACAGAACATCTCTTCCATAACAGAAATTAAAGAAGTGTTAAATGTTTGTCTCGGAGCCTAGAAGTACGAAAATTAAACAAAATATTTTACAATTTTTAAATTTTCTATTTAATTAAAAATTAATGCCATTGAATTCAAGTAATTTAAAAGCTATAGCCTATAACAAAGCAATTAAGTGTTCAAATGATATAAATGATGCAAAAATTCAATCAAATATTCAAATGCTATAAATTATACAGAAATTCAATCAAATATTCAAATGCTATAAATTATACAGAAATTCAGTTGGAAATAGCTTGTTTACAACTCATGCTATTTCAATAATTCCAGATGCTAAATCAGCTACAAGTTTAGATCATTTTGGTTTATTTGATTATGGCAAAGCACTTGAGGGCTATTTGCCTAAGGGGAAGGATGCCTGCATGGAGGACTTTTCATTTAACCCGTCAGTAGTTGTGAAATTAAGCTTTTCTCTCATCCCAAATATGGGCAATATCTGTCAGTCGTAAATTTGGAATGCAGGCTGAGCTCATTCGTGACCATCAGAAGGTTGAAAATAATTCACGAATGTAGTGGCTCAATTCAATCATATCTGAATTTTATGGCAGCATTAAAATATTTTTAATGTTACTATTCACTGTAGTTAGTGGCAAATAAATCAAACTTCAAATAATAAAAAAATATACAAGATTTTCACATGGTGAAGAAAAACCTTCAGATGCGGCTCTTCTATCTATAGAAAATGAATTAAGTCATCAAGTAGGTTTTGAAAAATTAACTGAAAAATGTTCTTCGTTAAAAGCAATAATTGAATTATCAAGTGCTTAAAAAATTAGTACAATACATTTTAGAATAGTTGCATTACTGCTATTATTTCAGTGCTATGTAATTTAACAAAAAGGAAATTTTCAATGGTTTTCTTTCAAAACTGTAATTTTATGTGTATAATTTTCTGAATACATAAAGCTATGATTTTAAATATTATTGTAAAATTTACAACATTATGTTTTGAAATAAGTTAACTTAATATAGTTAACTTTTATTGTGTGTATGTGTCTGTTATATATTTGCTCTTCCTTTGTTATAGCACCAAAAGTGGTATTAGTCTCGAAACCCAATTTTTGTCCTTATCACTTTTCAAATAGTTACCACCAAACATAATCGTGATGCATTATTTTAAAAAAATTAAGTAACGAGAATGTATATATGTTCCTCGCATTGTGGGAAAATGATGAAACATAGAGCCACCGAATTTTTAATATACATAATCTTCCACTGGAACATTTGCACTTCAAAGCCTGAATTTTTAATTTCAAATTTCTTTTTGATTTATTTCATATTTTGTACAAATTATATATATAATTTCATTTAATAAACTCGCAATTTGAAAACAAAAATTAGCAACATTGTTTAAAGTAAAATGTTTTTATGTTTAAAATAAAAGATTTTTATATCTATCTCGCTAGACTGTTACCATTTGGCAAAATGTAAGATATTTACAAAAAAAAAAAAAAAAAAAAAAAGTATTTTAATGAGATGTCTAATTAGAAATATTAAATATTTTTATGAAAGGATACTAATTGAACTCATTTCAATATTTATATACTCTTTTCCTTTTTTTTTATTATAGCATTTTTAGGCAACTAGCTAGTTTTCAAAAAAATAATTTATCGAATATAAAAAAAATATGACAGCCCCTAATACTCTATCGAGAATTCTAAATATATGATTTTTTTATAAAGTACTTTGCTCTTAAATTTTATGTGGCACAAATGTGAAAAAAAGCAATGCTCTTTCTCTCTCTTTGTCTTGGTTTAATTGCCCCATACATTCTATTGTAAAACTGGCTATGAGAATTTTTTTCGGCTTCCCTTTCCTCGAGTATCTTTTTTGTGAGGCCTCCTTTCCTGGATGCTCTAAGGATGTGCTTATTTGGCTTAATGGGTAATCCAGCCTTGTTGATGAATGATTTTGTTTTCACTTTTCAGCTCTCCAATATAAAACACCAAATAGACTTTACTGTTTTCATTTCTTTCGATCCACAATAGTTAAGCCATCACATCTAAATTGCTTTTACATATGACCAATGCAGATCTATAATAATATGTGTTTTCAAGTTACTAAATATGGTAAAATCTGGTATCAATATCTTTTCATATAAATGACCTATACAGTTCGTAAATAAGTAAGTGCCTTAAAGTGATAAAAACTGCATTATGATTGTTTTCCTTTTATTCATTTTTACCCAGCCTTTTAATAATTATCTATAACCTTTTGCAGGAATTTGATGCCTTATTTCATGAAGTTAGTGCAAAAACAGGAGATGGAATTAATGAAACAATGGATAATTTTATAAGGTACTATTTACATTTAATATTTAAATAAAATCACTTTTAGAAATCTTTGTTTAAAACAAGAAATAATATAAGTGACTTCCCCCCCCCCTGGGAAGAAAGGTACCTTCCCAGGAAAAGCAATAGTTCACTAATTGTATGCTATTTCAGCAAATGTTACCACGCTCTACACTTTTAACATGTGTAGAGCGGATTTTAACATGTGCACTTTGGACCTTGAAGCAGATTGATGCATTTAAAGCATCCATGAGTTTGCTGGGACTAAATCATGCATGAGGCAGTTCTGCTATCTTGGTGAACATCAGTGCAGAATTTGTCCATATAAGCAAAAATAATCTAAATCAGGGATGGTAAACCTTTTTTTTAATTAGTGTGCCAGTTAAATTACAGTTATTATTTTCAGGTGTCCATTGTGCCACTTGTTATATTTCTTTTTAAAAATCATCATTAAATCCCTGATTTGATTTCAAACCATCAAATTATATTTTGTAACTGTGTTTGCTCTTTAGTTATTAGCTTGCATAAAATCTGAATAAACAGTATTTTATAAATATTTCAGCTTAGTATTAAGGTAATGTAAAGTGTCCTAAAGCGAATACCTTTTATTGTAAGTGAAAACATAAAATTAAAGTAATTAATGTTAGAAATTTTTAATATTTTATAGTATGAAAAATTAGATGCATCATTACAGTTCAGAATTTTTTCACATAAAAAAATGGGGTCAGATAAAAAAAAAGTGGTTTTCATATAAATGACCTATACAGTTCATAAATAAGTAAGTACCTTAAAGTGATAAAAACTGCATTATGATTGTCTTTTAATAATTATCTATGATTATTGATGAAAACGCCTGCTCACAAGCATATGAGGATCCACGTGTTGTCAGCAGTTCTACTGTAAATTTTTTCATGGCTGAAAATTTTTGTGCAAGATCGTTGCATTGTTCAAGGATTAAGTTTTCTGACTTTTAGATTCCATATTTGGAATCTGCACACTCCACTCCTTCTAATACTTCACCAAGTTTGACAAATTTATTTACTCGCATAGAATTTTCTTGAAATTCTGTCAATTCCATTTCTAAATTGTCAGTATCCAAAGATTCAAAAAATGTCATTTTAAGATCATCCATTTTAGCAAAGTGAGATCTTGAAATAAACTGCGATGTGTTTTTTGAATTTGAGAAAATTGTGCTGATTTATTTCCTTTAAATTTTCTAAATATCCAAAGAGCTCTTAAATATATTTTCTCCATCTTCAAAAAATAATTTATCTGCAAAACTCAATGTCGATTCTAAGGGTCTTTTAAGCAAAGGGAAATATTTAAACTTCTTTGCTTGAATATCTTGAAACAATACGTCAACTGGGCACGCTAAGGAACATATGATCTCAAACAATCTATTTGCAGTTTGGCCTTTTCCTTGCAATTCCTTATTTATGTCATTATATAGAGCTGTGAAGTCATTGAAAAACATTAAATCACACAGCTAAATAGGATCCATGAGTTCTGAAAATTCTTGCTCCTTTTCTGTTATAAAAAGTCTAATTTCATCCAAAAGCTTGACATATCTGTTAAGAACTTTCCCACGACTCAGCCAGTGAACATTATTGTACATAAGAAGTCATATTCATATTCCAGGCTTAAACAAATAATCAATAAAATAGGATAAATAGAGGCTTTATGTCCACATCCTTCCTTTAAAGAACCAGAACATTCAAACTCCCGAAACACTAACATGGTGCATCACATCTACACAAAAATGATTAATATATAAAATTATTCGTTGCCTCTTTGTATAAGTAAAAAAACCACTGCTCTAATTTAAAGGTTTTTTTTATATTTATTTAAAAATTCAGTTTTTGTATTGTACAGAGATAGTATTTTATCTTATCACTTTTTCAAATTGTTATGTTTAGGAAATCAAATTGCCTGAATCAATAAAGAAGACGACTCTGCTCATATGTGCACATGTTTGCAAGAAATCATTCTACTGTATCTCGAAACATCATACCACCTATCTAAACCGAAACTGTCTCATCATTTACAATTTAGTTTGAGTTCTCTCTTATAACTCATCCTACTCACATGCTTCCCCAAGAAAACTCACTCTCCCTCACAGGGACTTCCATGGTGGAGGGGGCATTAGTCACCCTTCCATTCTGAAAAGGTGAAAATGGCAACCATGCTTATTTCTAAATCCACCTTTGATGGCCACTAGTCTTGGAGGTTTTTTTTTTTTTTTTAAATGTTGTTTTTCGTAAGTGACTAAAAGTAATTTAACATGCACCTGTGGCATGCCACCAAACTACCTGTTACTTGCCATGCCACAAAGTTTGCTATCCCCGATCTAGATCAAATCAATCTGAAATTCGTCTTCAAAAACCTGCTTTTGTATTCGCTGGAAAATAATGCTATACACCTATATCTTTATTATTACTATTGATGTGGGGATGATGTATTATCATAAAACAGAAATCACACCCACTGTTTAGAAATATCAGGTTTTATTTCATTCAGATTTATATCTGTCCAAGTCTGATCGCCTACACACAATCAGGAAATGCCTTGTTTTTTTCTTTTAAATATTGTTAGCCACTTTCAGAAATGTCACCTCATAGATGATGAACTCAAAAACTATTTCATGTTTAGAATTCTGCCACACAATTTAATCTTACATAGTGTTGCTATAAAATTCCAGATGAATTTAAATGCACAGCTAGTTTTTAATTTCTTTGCTGCCAGATTCCCACACGGCTCGGCCATCAATATGTGAGGTCCTTCGTACACTGAAGCACAGAAAATGGAGAAGAAAAATAACATATTTGAAAAACAATGATAGCTGTAAAAAACAAAAACGAAAAAGGAGATGTTGGAAAAAACAGTTTGCAATAAGTTTGAAAATTTCCGTCCTTTCCTCCACAAACATAACATGAACTTTCTGACGCCGGCAGAATCACGTCCAGTCTGTTTTGATGTTTATTTTGATGGAATGAGTAATCCTTTATAGTTTGGTTTTGAACACCTGGGACTTTCAATTTATTATACTGAAATATTTATTTCAGACATGATTTTCCTCAGGTTGAGAAATATAAATCACATTCTCAACCTAACTGGGTTGGATTAAACCATGTTTTGCCCTTGTGAACACCTATGTATTCTTTCGTTTTCGGCATCTTTGGTGGGAAATGAATTTTCCAATGAAATAAAAAAACAAATGCAATGCCTCTGGCCACTCAGGAACAGAGACTGTAAGCGTTTTAATATTTTTTATTAAATATTCAACACTAGTCTGCACGTTTCTTCTATCACCAGATAATAATTGCATTTTAAAGTTTTCTACTTAAATCTGTTTTCAATTTTGGCTAACTTACGCTGTTCAAGCTCTAATAAATAGTGTTCATTATTTGTTCTAAGTCTTTGATAGTTGGTGATCGATTTGATGCCACAAACATATTCAAAATTTGTTTTGAAATTTGTTTTGGCTGTACACCCTTGCATGTGTTTGACGAGAGTTCACCGACTGCTATGTGGTAGAGAGGAGATTGTAGAGCACTATATTTGACCTTTTAGGGATGCATCTGATCCTGGGATCCTGTTAATGGATGACAATGCTTATCCACGTAAGGCTCAGCTGGTTAACAATTAGCTGGAAAGGGAGGATATATACCGCATGGATTGGATTGCCAAATCTCCTGACGTTAATCCTATAGAACATGTCTCGGAACCTCTTGGGAATCCTCCTCCGAGAATCATTCCGGAGTTGAATACTGCTTTGCTGCAGCAGGAGTGGAATTGACTACTACAGGGACTCCTCAAATACCTGTCCAGTATGCCATCATGATGCATGACCTGTCTGACTGTGAGAGGGGACCATACCCCATGTTAGACTCATTTTCAGTTCAATATCCCAATCTGGATTTTGGGCATCCCTGCACTGTGAGCTTTACTGATAATCATGCATACCTAAAATGACTTTTGAATGGTGCATCTTTTTCTCTGATATAAAACAGTTAACTCACTGCATTTGTGTTTTTTAAGCTATGATACATTTTTGAGGATTAAGAAACTGATCTTTTTTGTAAAATAATTGAGACAAATAGAAAGCAGACATATATGTATTATTATTATATTGTACATATACAGTACAAAGTCTGTAATCTGGACTCGTCGGGACTTCGGCGATTCCGGATTAGGGTGTTTTCCGGATTATAGATTATCAATTTAAATCTGGTAAGATGGCATTCAGAAATTATACAATTAAAAATATGAAACCGTAATTTATGAAATAAAGAACAATTATGATCTAAAGAGAATCAAAATTTACAAAAAGAAAAGCTTAATATTTATTTACTTTATTAAACATTTCTTTCAATGTAAGTTGTTTAAGTTGCTTCGTTTTTTGTGCTAATACTTTCTCTTTAATTCTATAAACAGACATAATTTCTTATTCAGTTACGAAGTTCTACTGTTGAAGTCCTGCAATTGCTGTGTCGAGAATGCCGACTAACTTGTCAATCGAAATTTTTTCGTTTTCAATAACCTCTCTTTCACTTTCTTCAATATCGGAAGCGGTATTGTCTGGATGTAGAACCATACTAGAGATTTCGCCATCCATTAATTGATTGATGACTGGGGCATTGTCATCGCAATTAAAAACTTCTGTTATATCATCTTCATTTATTACCGCTTCTCCACATTTCTTTACAAAATCCAATAGCTGGAAAATTTCACCTTTAGTTTACGATGTCCAAAAACCTTCAAATTCGCGGCTATCATCTTCATCATCCTCACCATAAAATATGGTAGCTGGCTATAAATTATGCCAAGCATTTTTTAACATATCTGGAGGCACATGCGTAAACGTGCATTAGCGCGCATGCGTAAAGCATACGAAAAAAAAGTTTTTGGCTTTGAGGTCAGGATTATTGATAATTCCGGATAATGGACGTCGGGATTACGGACTTTGTACTGTATATTGTTTTTAAAGTTAGAACCATTATGCTATTAAATAAAAAAATAATTTTTTCTTTATCATAACATTTTTAATAAATCAAATATTTTATCACAGTTAGTAAATAATGATATTGAGCATTCAGGATGTTAGTTTAATGACTCTGTAAGGTCGAACTTGGCTTTTATCCTTTTCTTTGTTATTATCTGCTTAATTTCTCTACTGATACTGTGTGTTTTCCACCCAAAAATTTCATGATGAAGATACTTGGAGACATTAAAAAAACTTATTGCAAAATTTCGGGAAAAAGCTGCATCAAATTCATTAGTAGTCAGTGCCTGATTTATATATAAGCTGCACAAGCTATTAGCTTAGGGCCTCCACTTTCTTGGGGCCACCTTAAAAAATTGGACTATATCCCATATTAAGAAACAAAAAAAGTCTCATAGGTATCATAAAGGGCCCCCCATGTCTTAAATAGCTTAGGATCTCATCAAATCTTGTCTTCTTAGTAGTAAATGTCTCGTGCTTAAAACGTGATTGTTTTCTTCTTATTTCAGTGGTGGTGATTGTCTGTCGCCCAGAATGAGCTTTATCATAGATGTCTAGCTTTTTGAATTAAATGAGTTGGCTTTCATTCAGCTCATTCCTGTCGTCGTTTATCTAATTTCTGTGAATTAATTCCATAAATTACTTCTACAAAGTTTAGTGGTTTTGTTGATGGATTTTCACTTGGTTAATAGTTTCTTTACTTTCAAAATTTAACAGCATAATATATTTAGAAGTCGGCAATCACTATACGTTACAAAACTGTGAGGCATGCAACAAAATAACTGAAATAAGAATTGAAGAAAATTGAGGACTCTCTTGAAAGCTATAATTATTATTCTAACTTTTGAAATATTTTGCTCTTAATAACCTGTCTCTAGATAAGCGTACTTTAAAAATCACTTAGTATTACCCTGAAAACTAATTTATGATATTTTGTTCAAGTCTTTCTATATTCTTAAATCAGATTTATTTCAGGGCGATATTGCTTTGTAAAAATGGTATTGAGCTGGCTGTTGAAGTTGACGTAAAAAGTGATAAAAGTGAGTTAGGAAAGGTAGGGTTTTCAACGTAATCTACTTGGAAATGTATTACTTATTAGATTTTTCCCAGGAGAATTTTATAATGTAATATTTAAGTGTATTTTTCCTCTGTTTTCACAGATCTTTATTTTCACAGCAATTTCAAACTACTCAGAGCATGAACTCAGAGCAAGAGTCATCTACTTCTCAAAACACCGTGAATTCAATAAATGACACCCACTTAAGTTGTAGCAGATCTTAGAAGAAACAAAATGCTTTGGGGAAATTTCACCTTCTATGGAAATTAAAAATTCAGTAGAAGAAAACAAATCAGAAAGAAACATAAAAAATTATGGAAGGTCAGAATCTGCACAAAGTATCAGTTTGCCTGAAAAAACAGAATTATTGCAGTGTTCCTCTGAATCTTTAACACATAGCAAAAAGAAAAATACCTTTGAACTAACAAAGCATTCTGAAGAAGTAAAACCAGTACCAGAGTCAACTACTGTACCTCCTTTTGAATCATCCAAAGCAAAAGTAACTGTATTTCCACATACTTTTAAAGTGGTTTTTGTTGGAGATAATGCAGTAGGAAAAAGTAGCATTCTTCAACGGATTTTAAAAAATAATTATACAGAAGTATACAGGCCTACAAGTAAGTAGAGATATGAAATATTTTTTACAAATATTTTTATTTGCCTATTAATATCTATAACATTTTTCTTCTCGTATTGCACTGAACAAGCAGAAGAGGAACAAGACTGCCATAATGTTGAAACTTTATTTAAATTAAATTTTACTCCATTACTTATCTGCATTTTCACACCAATTCTAGCACATGCACCATAACTAGAATAGTTAGTGGATGCCTTTTTGAAAGACATTTAAAGTATATTTATTTAGCCTTAGTGGGATTAGGTGTGAAATCATTAGCACATTCTAATCAGCTACCAATCAATTTGGATTTTAGCCTAACAGATATAAAAAAATCGCTATCAGTTGAATATAATACAATAGAAGAAAAATAAATTACTTCTAGTTTCTTTTCAATCGGAAGTCGATATTCCTTTGGTGTTCTGGTTTTGTGCATGCTATCATCAAGCATCCTGTTGTCATCCTTTCGGTGTTAAGATTTTTTTTCTGACAAATGTCCACATTTTGCTTTTCAGAACACTGGAAAAATGCCCTGCCTAGAAGGGAAGATGAGAACTTTTCATGCAAAATTTGCTTCCATATCCAAAAATTGACCACCATTAGTTGTATTGCATTATTACCTCTTCTATTGCACTGTTCTTGAAAAATCTTGGGTAGACTACTTTGAGGCTTCTTCATTCATTCAGTCTTCTTTCTCTTGAATAAAACTCTTGTACTGTATGGAAAACATAGAAAAATTTCAAGCTAAATCCTAGAGGTTACTTCCAGAAATGCATAAGATGGGTCCCAAGGAACTAATTTTTCAGTGATGAAGACCATTTTTATTTACATAAATTTTCAAAGTTTGGCATTATATTTTTGAGTTTACTAGTTTAGGGTTCGTACACATTTCTGAGCACGGAAATTAAGGACTTTTAAGAACCATTAATGAAAAAAAATGAAGGACCTATGAGCAAACGGGAACTGAATAAATTCAATTAAAAATATCATTCTATGCCTGAATTTCATTTTTGTAATACCATCCTAAAAATAAAATAGATACTTAAGTAGTATGCATTATTACTAAACATGAATTAATTAACATAATTATTAATAAGTTTGAAAATAAAATAAACTAAATGCAATTTATAAAGTAGCATTAAATATTTTACACTTATAATAGTTGGACATATTTCAAAAACGATAAGTGACATTTACGTTTTACTAAAAGTTAGCTTTATGTTTATTTTTTTTTTTTTTAATGTCTCATTTTGTCACATACTTGGTCAGTCTAGAGGTTTAGTAAATACCAGGTATATTTTATGTTAAACAGCATAAGTTAAAATGAGAAGTAAGATCAAAATCGACATGATTCATAACAAAAGACCACTGCTGCTTGTCTAGAGAGAGACCTGCTGATTAGAGCAAACCTGAAAAGCCTGATGTAGGCACAGTTGGGCAAGTGTTGAAAGTTAATCAGGCTCTGTTTGATGCAATTAGTGTCGTAGCTTGTGTAGAGTTCCAGGGGTTGTAACCCAGTTAATATACTTTAAGGTTCCAATAAGTCATTAAAGCACCAGAGGTGATAAGTTGTTTTGTATTACCGTATTTGACGGCATATAAGACACACTTTTTTTCCTAAATTTGGTCTCAAAAAAGTTACCTGCATTTTATATGTGAAGGTAATTTGCATTCAATAATTGTGTGTTTGGCTTTTACGAAACGTGAGAACTAAAAGGAACTTTTTTTCCTTGTGTGTGGCCGTCTAAATAAGGGTGCGTCTTATATGCCGTCAAATACGGTATTTGAAGTCTCACTAGATGCAAAGAATATATTTTACTTGAATTTTTACATTTTTGTGTTTCATCTTGTGACCACAGTGAGTATCAATGAAAGGCAACAACTCACTTTAATATGTAGAGATTATTTTTAAGGGTAAACACTTATAAATTATTAAATTAGGTAATTAGATAATCTCAGTCATTATGGATTTACATGACCACTATTAAATTTTATCTTTTAACGATATTTGTTAACGAAGCCCTATTAAAATGAAAATCTAATAAAATTTCACAGTTTAAATACATGTAATTTATGACATTAATTCTCAAAAGATATTAGGACATAACAAAAACGACAAAACATTTATGCTTTGTAACAACACTCAACAAAATATTTATCCATCATTTTAATTTGAAGCCTTTCCAAACATTTTGGCTAGCTTATATCAATTTTTTTCTCTTTAAGTATCTTTTCTGACAATTAGAGATTTGTCTCGATGTGCAAACCAATGCTCTCGCTAGTTCCTGCATGCTTTATCTTCTAACTTGTCAACCTCTCCACAATGTACCTATGAGGTTTTACTTGATCTGGTATAAGTTAAATTGTTCAAAATCTCTGACGATGAAGCAAATTATGCTATGTCTGAAAGTAACTACAATATCAGACAAAGGTTTAAATAGCCTCTTACTTAAAAAGACTAGGACATAAAGGCATGTTTGATGCTAACAATCAATTACAGCTCATAGTGACAACTATCAAGAACAGTAAAATTCAACTAAAAATGTGATAGTGGTCAAAGATTATGCAATTTAATTTTAATTTAATCTGGCTCAGTTCTCTATCATATGAGGAAATAAAAATGGAAAATTATAGTAAAGGTGAAATCATAACAAAAGTAATTTACATATATACTGTGCATATCGTTGAAGAATAATTTTATTTATATTTCAGTTTCCCCCCCCCAGTTTCCTTTCATTTTATAATTTTGGGTTAATTAAGAATTCTGTTATTCAAAAAATAATGCATTTAGAATGTGTAGAAAAGTTTGCTAATTTTATTCTTTAGTAATATGAAATCAGAAGAATATATATGGTAAGGCTGGTTCAGAGCTGTGTGCGAATTTTAGAATTTAGTGCCACACCGCAACAAATCTAAAGGCAACTTTAGAATTCAGAGCAGGCATGGAAACAGATTTGAAAGGCACTAGGCCAGAATTGGATCCGAGATGCATCAGGCTGCCTATGCGCTATGTGTATGCGGAGACAGAGATTATCTTTTAATTGTTATTTTTTTTATTAATAAAAAAAATTCCTTTCTATAATGCCTGCCCAATTGATAATAGAAGCCTTTTGATATTCCTCTGTGTTGTGAAAGTAGAGAAATAGAAACGATAAACATGTTAAAAAGATTCTAGTATCAGGTCCATTCAAATATTATGTTTTTCATTGTTTCCAGACGTTCCCCAAAAGTAAGAATTCATTGCCTTTCTGTAAAATACATCATATGTGTTGATACCAGCAGACATTTTTCCTTTTGTCACATACTCTCGCATCTTCTAGATCGAGAAATATGTGACAATGAAAAAATGTGTCGCCTTTAATCCTTCAAACTTCCAAGCTGCATGTCTAAATATTAAAGGAAAATTCTCCCTACCATTCTGTACAGCAAAAAGCCAAAATATTTGGGAAAAAAAAAAAAAAGGCGGAAAAGTGTAAATTAATTTTATAGAGAAAAATGATCATATCTGAGAATTTTGAATATTTGAATTATTATATGAAAAAGGCTACTAGAAAAATTTGGAAAACATTTTAATTAATTACATAGCGATTTTGCTTTTGCTAAGAGTTGTTTCGAATTATGCTTTATGCATGATACCTTATTATTTCTGATTCAAAATATTGTATAAAGTTCCCAAATGAACTTAGATATGACAGTGAAAAAAAAAATGTGTTATTTATTAAATATAATTTCATATATTACCATTATTTTAATGAATTTAGAAAGTTAGACTTAGAAAAAAAACCGCAAAAAATTCTCAGACTTGAATTAAAATTTTTTATAGGAAAGATCTGAAATCTCCGAAATGTTGACAGTCGCCAAATGAACGTTTAATAAAAGAATTCAATCTCCAATCGAAAGGTTAAGAGCTCTTTATTAAAAAAATGAATTTTGAAATGCGTATGTTTCACTTCTTGCTTAGAACTGAGTATCCACATTATATTAAATAGAAACAAATTATAACCCATGAAACCCATTCAAAAGATACCATATAGTCAGTAATCGCCAAATATGCCTCCAAATGTAATTCACCTCAAAATGCAGTCGTAAAACAGACAGAAATTTAAGATGATTAAATTAAAGGACCTTCTGCTGATTTTGGCCAAAATTAAGGACTTTTAAGGACCAAAAATCGATTCCAAAACATGTAAGGACTCTTAAGGACCATACGAACCCTGTAGTTTAGGATTTGAAACATATGTAAGTAGATCCATAAGTTTCTGGCCTGATAAACTTCAAAAAGAAAGAAAATTAAAAAAATTTTTAATACAGTTTCCTTATTTTCACATCATTTAATGAACAACTCTGTGCCCCTGATGAAAAAGTAATCTTTAGGTTTATCCTCAAAATGTTCCAAAACTGCTCTTTCACACCATCTTCATCATTAAACCTTTATCCACAAAGGTCAGATTATAGTTTTGAGAATAGATAATAATCATTTGGAGCTAAATTTAGGCTGCAAAGTGGCTAGTCAAGCTCCTTAACCCCTTCGCGCCGACTGTCACGTCTACGTGCCAGCAACGAACACACTCACCTCCCGGCCGACACGCAGGCATGCCAGAGCATTTTCCCGTTCACTACCGACTGTCACGTATTTGTGCCAGTGTCCTAGAACGTTTGAAAACTATAATTCTGCCACAAGATGGCTCTGTATGTCCATATGGTTTCAGATACATGACATTAGACCTCTACTCGAATGAGAGAAGATGACTCACATACACTGTTTTGTTTTAATAACAACGGGAACTAAATTTTCCGAATGGCGTTATTATGCGTCTCTTTAAATTCGCACGTGTATTGTTTATTGTAAGTAGAGAAGTTTATTGCTTAAGTGTTGGGTATTTCGGTTTGCGTTCAGTTTTTAGAAATAATAGATCTGTTAGACGGAATTCTTTCTGTATTTACCGTTGCAGTCAAAGCATTGAAAATGTTTACAGAGCTGAAAAGCAGAAATGATGCAAATTTTCAGATATGATTCGAAAGATTACTGAAAGACATTTTCCAAACTTTGTCAGAAAGACTGATAAGAAATGAGAGGAAGAGCTTCATTGTTCACATTCCTGGAAAATCCTCCAAACGGCAAGTGAGTATACGATGAAGAACGAAAGTGGATGTGTGTGTCCCTGTTTCAACTTTTTCATCGAAAAGGAATTTTAATAATATATTTAGTTTTCAGATGTGAATGTTAAGTCATAAATGGTGGTATGAAATTAAATGTGTAAAATTGCATTTAACAAGAAATAGGTATAAAGTAGATAATATAAAATATCTATAAAGTATAAGCCGTTTAAATACTCTATAGGCATATTAACAAGTATTGATTTACTTCGGAAATTTCATGATTTGGCTTAGTAGCAAAAAGCCCTGGCCTGGAAGACGCTCGCGTAAGACACTGCCGGCCTCCGCAATAAGCGCGCGTCTGCGCTACCCGGCGTGAAGGGGTTAAAGTTACATTTCTGTTTTTTGAATTCCTAAAAGAAATTCAGTACACGTCTTGGAAGCACTTTCTTCACGTTGAATGTACGAAAGAGTTGTTTTATATAGATCCTGTCTTGACACTTGCTCCTTATCTTTTATCACTTAATATTTTCTGATGTCAGTACCTCCACTGGTCAACCTTCTCAAGAATCATCATCTACGGAATTTCAGCCCTTCGGAAACTATTTTACCCCTTCTTTCACTGTAGAACAGGAAGGAGGTGAATCAACATGCATATCATCGAAACATGCTTTTTTCTGTTTGAAGTGATCTTCTTTAGTCTTTCTTTAAAATTTAATCACAGAATGATAGTCAGTTTTAAAATTTCAAGACAAAGTAGCACATTCAGTAGACAGTGAAAATTTGACACATACGATTTCCATAACTAAACTTTAAACTTACTCATTTAATATTTTCAGTATATGTGTGCAAGAGGAATTGTTAAACCTTATTTTATATATGAGGCTTTGTACTTTTGGATCTACCTGCACATATTTATTATGATAAAAAAAAAGTTTTTCAGTGAAGTTATTATGTAAGATCAATTAATCATTTTTTATTCTAATCGTAGGTTCCTGTTTGAACTTTGTCCTACTTTTATTTTATGATATTAGATAACATATTAGTATTGATGACAAAAGATTTATAATTCTGAGTGGAGATATGTATATCAGAATAGAAGCTTGAAGAATATTCTTTATTTTTCGTTTTTGCTAGAATGAATATTAATACCACAGAATAGTATCATTTCATATGATGAATGAAATTGAAATAGTGCCTTGTCATTTACAAAAGAGTATTATTGCTTCATTGGTTCGCAATTTTTGTCATTAAATTATTGCAGGCTCTGTTTCAATGTATTGGTAATCAACATAAGAAAAAATTATGATATTAGCATTCTTTAAGTTATACTTGGATATGTTGATGAATAGATAGATCTTAGTTAAATATATTTAAATAGATGCTAGTACATATATTTAAATTGAAGTTCTCACAAAGAAAAGTAGTTCAAAAATATCAAGGAAATTTAAATACACTTTTAGATGCTTTTTGTGTCCTTTGTATTAAATTTAAAAGTGACAAAGTAATCCAAAAAGGGTAAATTTTTAAAATAATTGTATTTTAATTCATATTGTTTGATCGTACAATTAACAAAGAAATGTGTGAATGTTTTTTTTTTTTTTCTTTCCCTTAAAGAAACTTTTAATATGTAAATTTTCTAATTGCAGTTTTTCCACTAGACATTATGTTGCCTTGAAATTTAGAATATATGGTTTCACTTTTAAACTGCCGCAAGCAACATTCCGCATTGTGGTTACAGGTTACAAAACAATTATTTTTCTTTGAGGCCTATTGTTTTATCTCAAAAATCCTAGTTATAAAACAAACTTACTGCTACAATCTGAGACTTTTGGGGGGAAAAAACTTACAGGTCAGAATACGGAAGTTATTAGATGTTTTTCAATTGCAACTAAACTTCCAATAAGCTAGATTTCAATGACAACTAGATATCCCCAATTAATCTTAAAATTTTTACTACTTTTTTATCTTAAAATTTTTATTACTTTTAGAGGTTATCAACAACTTCAAATCTATAGCATCGTGAACGTATGTTAGTCCTTGTAATGTATAGTAATAATTGTAAACATTATTTACTGTTGACAGTGTAGTTATTAAAGATACTCTCCATTCTTCTCAAAATTATTATTTCTCAAAATTCTGTTTTGGAATTAAGAGTAGCATAACTGTGTATATATATATATATATATATATATGTCATTTCATAACTGCATATATCTTTCTTGAAGAAGGAAAGCATCAAACCTAAAGTATATTTCTTTCAGCTGTACAATCATATGAAAAGGAAATAGATGTAGAAGACAGGAAGATAAAGTTGAAACTCTGGGACACGGCTGGAAATGTGAAGTAAGTAATTTAAAAGACAGAAAATATCTTTTCATCTTAAATTTGTAATTCTTGTGGAATTATGAAACTTTAAATTTCATGATATTTGATTCTATTGGTCTTCGTCTTTAACGCAGGTTGCAACGTGCAATATTGCCTTATCTTTGTAATACAGATGCAGTTTTAATAGTATATAGTGTTATAGAAGAAGATTCCATTCAGAATGTAAAAACTTGGATTGAAAATGTTAAGGTACACATTGTAAATTTTTTATGTTGGTATATAATTTATTTCTGCTGTAGAATTTAGTAATAGTAGTACGCCAATTTTATTCTAGGATTTAAAAGCAGCATGTTAGAAATATTACATTCAAATGTTACATGTATGTTTCCTTTTTTATGCTGCAAAAATAAATGTGGCCAGTTAATCATAATTTTATTGATATTATATTCAGTAACGTAGTATTATTATGAGGAAGTAAAAGGTATTTCTTTTGTGTGCCTCTAATTTTGTGGTCAGCTTATTGTTCTGCACATTAAACAAGAAGACTATTTGTTTGGAACAACATATTTTGATCAAAATATTCAAAAATGTATATCTTGTATTCTGAGATGCTGGGACATATATTGCTTAATATTTGTGATACATAAAGTATCGATGACATGATGTTAACAGCATCATATCATCGATGCAATGATTTATAGCAGGGATGAACGAACTCCGGCCCGCGGATAGAATTTTAATTTGCCGGTTTGAGGCAAAATTAAAAGAAATAGATATTATATATCCAATCTCCTTTTCTACTTTGTTTAAATATTATTTTTTTCTTCCTTTTTTTCAAAGGACTGATGATCTTTTTACTTTCTGTATTTTTATTCTACAAAATATAAATTGGCAAGCACAGACAGCTTTCAATTGGTAAAGTGTTAACAGCAGAAGTTCTTTGTTATAGCTTGTAGACTGGCACCAAAAAGCCTTATCTCTTTCTTGGAAAACAGACATATGGGAATCCAATTATAGGTGAATTAGACCTCTTAGAAAAAACTTAATTATCTTAAAATTTAATCTGTTTGTTGGCAGCTAGCTAGTCTCATTTCGCGAGGTTAAATTCAGTACCCTCAGTAAATGAAGAGAAGCTTAAAAATTATGACGATGGCCTGAAGAAACTGCATTTTGAGTTCAAAAGAAGACTTCCAAGATTTCAGTGCCTTTCAAACAGAATTGGATACTTTTACCATGCCTTTCAACGTAAATTAGGAAGCAGTGAGGTCAGATTTGCAGCTAGAATTAATTGAGTTGCAATCTAACAATCATCTTGTGCAGTTGTTTCTAAATATGCCAGAGTTTTACAAATCATTATCGAAATTAAGTTTCCCAAATTTAATATCTCAGCAAAGCAGTGCTATGTTTGATTCACCTTATACATGTGAAGAAGTGTTTTCAACTATGAACCTTAGAAAGAATATTGGAAGTAGACTGACAGATGATCATTAGCTCATCCTAGAATCAGTACATCTCACTTCGAACCTCAGTATAAGGACTTTAAAAGAAATTGGAATTCATTACTCATTACATAGTTAAATTCGAATAATGTATATCGATTAAAATTTAGAAAAATTTTATATTGGTCCACCAACTTTTTTTTTTTTTTTTTTTTTTTTTCAATTTTTGGCCTGCGACGAAAATGTTGCCCATCCTAATTATACGAGGCGTATTCGTAAACTAAGTACCGTTTTGAAAAAAAAGGTAAACAATTTTTCGCTAGTAAACAATTTATTTTACATAAAATACATGTCTTAAACTATTTTTCAATATTTCCGCAATATCAAACTTTCATAGCGGGGACCAGTTTGTTTTTACTCGCAAAGAAACTTCCACCAGTTCGAGAACACACTCCCCAGGCTTTTTCGTGTCATCGTCAGATCCAAGCGTTGCCACCAAGCTCACGCTTCATGTGCAGGAACAAGTGGTAGTCGACGGCACCAAGCAGGGTGACGCGGTGATCGCAATGCCCCATGAAACGTCGAATTAACGATTGAGTGACACAGCAGTTGGCCAAGCATGTCATTAGCAACACAATTCTTTTAATGAGCATTCCTCTCGTTTGTTTGACTGCCACCTTAGTTTTGTTAAGTCTCACAATATCGTGCCGCATTAATGGTTCACTCTGGGAGAATTCAGTAAGCAAAACGCCTTCCTATCCCAGAAGACAGTCAATGATTTTTGTGATGACATTGTACTTTGAAATTTTTATTTTTTGGAGAATGAGTGTGTCTCCACTCCATCGATTGTTGTTTCGATTCTGGTGTGAAATGACAACCCAAGTTTCGTCACCTGTCACCTTTCTAGTTCATTTATTGTAGGTAGGAAAACACCAAGTTATGAAATCTTTCCATTGTGACAGCTGCAACATTCTTTGTCTTTGACATTTTCACTGAAATTGCTAAAAACATTGATGCTATTGGAAGACTTATTGTATTCAGTTCAAAGACTCAAGCATGAAACAACATGTTACATCATAAACCAAATGTGCATAAAATTTAGTGCTATTGAACTGATAATGATGTGCAGTTTTTCATACTTGGCAAATCGCACAACCTTGGTTCAGAATACCTAAAAATAATGAAGAAAGTATGATATAAATGATGAAATTACTACTTGGGAAAACAGATTCAGCTGTAATTCAGAAACCTGACCGTGCGTCTGTTACACATGTATATCATTTTATACATTCAGGCCTTGCACATTTCTATCTTACCACTAAAAGTTAATTACTGCCTCAATCTAATGCATTTTTAGAAATAGCTTCCATATACATACATCCTTTAAGTTTCCAAATAAAATCAATAAATAAGTAACTGATGTTTATTTTGAGTTCCTCTCGCAATGCACGACTGTGAATTTTTTGTTCTACTTATAAACAATATTTTGTATTAATTTCTTACAGGAAAGAAATCCAGACGATACCATAATCCTTATAATTGGTACCAAGGTCGACCTAAGGAAGTCCGAGGAAGCATTTGAAACAGCTGGAAAGCAGTTTACTACTGTAAGGATTTCTATATCAGTACTTTCTTTGATTTCTTTTTCTACTTTCTTTTTAAAGAAACCCGGCTAAAAATTTTTTATGTTACCAGTATCTTCTAATATGTAATATGTTGTGTAAATATGGCTTTACAATAGGCATTTGAAATAATACTTCTCTTTTATCCCATTAAAAATATCATTTTGCTGATTACCACAACTTACTTTCTTTAATTGGTCCAACCAGTCTTAAAATGTCAGGAATTTTTAATAATCTTTTTTTATAGCTTATGCTAAAAGTAAACAACCCAAAATTATGTGTGTGCGTATATATATATATATATATCCAATTATTAATATCAGTTGGAAATGAAAAGTAAAAAGTATTGTAATTATGAAACTTGTTAAAATTAATTTTCCAGAAAAATGAGTTTAAACTATGGAAACTATAAAAATCAATGTATTTATAAGATTTTAAAATATAAAGACAAAAATAAAACAAAATTAATTATTGTTGATTCCATGGAATAAGGCTAACTTTTCAAAGAAGAGTTAATCCTTTTCAATAAAATCACCAATAATTATGAGATCTGATCGCATTTTATATATTTCAATGAAATTCAATTCAAAAATTGCTAAGAAATATATCAATTTGATATTAAATTTATTTATTTTTCAAATATATGAAAGAAATTCCCTGTTGCAATCCGATTCAAATAAAATGAGAAGAATCCAAATGCCAGTCAAAACATTAATAAAAACTAATTCCGGTTATAATAAAATATTTATTAAGGTCTGATATAATATTCAAAAATGTACAAAAACAAAAAATTAAATTTTACTCACATTTGTTGTACTTCTTCAATGCCAATTTTAACTGACCATTTTTTCTATTAAAAAAGGAAGGACAGCTGAAACAATCTGTTGAGGACACTACAAATAAAAGAATGGTAAATATTAGATGGTTTAGAGAATTTCATTTGGCAACTAGTTCCAGGCTCGCTATTAGTAGATATATAACACTTCCTGCCTTATCTTTCTCTCAATTTTGGGTAGTGCGATCATCAAGTTATTAGCTTAAAAATAAAATCTGATAATTAATAGTATTTTTTTCCCAAAAGAATTTGCATAATTAAAATTAGTTTAAGTAATCTATTTCTGATTCTAGTAATTTCATTAAGTACTGTGTTGCCAATAACTTTTCTAGATAAGCTGGTATTCCAGTTAATTAGTTAAAAAGCTTAAAATCTCTTCTTTTATCAAAAGGTTTAAATTTTATTGTGGCTAATTATTTGCAGATCTAAATAATCAGTTTCTTGTTGCGTTATATTAAGAATTAAGCATAAAGAGTAAATTTGGAATTGTGTTGACTCAAAATTATTAAACAGCAATGACATCATCTATGTATCTGAAGGTATTTGCATAGTTTTAAATTAGTCTTATACAGTCATTGTTGAAATCGAAATTTTTTAATAAATAAGTAGAAGTTACAAATATGCATAGAAAAGTTAGTTGCCCATATGGGGACACATACACACACATGTACTACATCAAGAGATAATAATTAAATCATGAAAGGGATCATTCTAACAGGAAATACACATATCAAAATTGAAACAAAAACAATTCAAAATGGATATAATATAATATATATAAAATTGCTGAAAATTCCTTGGTCTTTTACAAGAGCAGCCAAAGAATTTTCAACAGAGCCACATTTCTGAATGAGTGGGAATTCATGAAACAGTTCAAAATAAAAATAAAGAAACTGACAATTAATATTAATTTCATTAAAATTATTATCAATCAAATTCCTCTAAAAATACACCATAATAAAAATTTTAAAAGAAAAACTTCAATTAATCAAGATATAATCTGCTCCGATGTTACCCTGAAATACAGTGCTGGCCATCAAAATTGCAACACCAGGATGGAATGATTGTGTACCTTCTTCGAGGTACATACAAGGTATTTGATTGCTGCCGTGGCCTGCATGGTCTCCAGATCTGTCACCCACTGAAAACATCTCTGGTCATGGGTTGCTGAGAGACCGACCGGCCCACCACCATTCTCCAGTTAATATGGTTGATCAAATGTGGCATGGAATGAGTTGCCCATTTCTGTCGTCCAAGCCCAATTTCGTGCCTAAACGGGTAAGGGCTGTTTTAGATGCCAAGGGTGGCTGTGTTTCTACTAATTTCGCACCCCTGTAAACTCTCAAACTGCTTACAAATTTAATCATTTTATCTTCATGCCATACTGTTTAGGTGCAATAAATATCTTTTTTGTATTTGCTTTCATCGTATTGCAATTTTAATGGCCAGGAGTGTAAATAAAAAAATTAATGCTTAAATCCATGCGGCTTTTACGTTTTTGCATAAGATATCCTGGAGATACCAATCAGATATCCTGAAAGCAAAAATTCTTGGAAATATTTCTTTCAACCCAGGTTCAGTCTTGGTAATAGACGTGATATCAGTTTTACAAGGTGTAGACACGACCAGAGGACACGAACAGCAGTTCTCACAGCACTGAATGACTTGAGGCCTACAGAGTAGCAATAACAGCAGATGAAATTCAAAATATAGGGAACTAGAAATAAAGATATATTATTATTATTACATATTGTATTATTAATTACTATGTATTTTATTAGGGTAGAGGTTTTATGAATAAATATTATTGTAATAGTTACTGGTAATTTATCCATTAACACTTCTTATTTGTTATGGCCTTACTGTAATCACGTCCTTAGGAAAATAAATTATTTGCATAATTTTCCCCTCTCGATTTTCATATGATAAAATTAGCAAAAAAAGGAGGATATGTGAATAAATATAGTATTTATCATTTTTAATGACTGTTTATCGATTATGTGTTCACATTTTTTGCATGTGGTGCAATTCCCTAATTTGTTTTAGTAGTATACTTGCACTTCCACATGAATTAATTTATTCAGTCAAAAGTCTTTAATTCGGACTCGTCGGGACTTAGGCGATTCTGGATTATCGATTTTTCCGGATTATAGATCATCAGTTTAAATCTGGTAAGATGGCATGCTGAAATAAAAATTAAAAATAGTGACACCGTAATTTATAAATAAAGAACAATTATGACCTAAAGGTATCAAAATTACAAAAAAAAAAAAGCTAATATTTATTTGTAATTTTACTTTAAACACACGTATGCGTAAAGCTTTCCACACTTACCGGCTATAACTTCCAAAATTAGAAAATTGCAATGAGAAAACTATTTGATATATTTCGTATAATAATTTGTATTCGTGATTTTAAAAGATTTGATTTAAATTGACAAGACAGGAGTACATCGAATAAATACTAATTAGTAAGGAATTATAAGCCAAATAAAATAAAAACATCTGCCCTGAAGATAAGGCTAGTGCGACATCAACTCAGTTCATTGCGTGCTGCGACGTCCCCCCTCCCCGAGCAGCATGAAATTGAAAATATTTTGGAATGGTTAGAGAAACAAAGATCGCCTTTATCCATTTTTTTGAAGCAATCCACTTTTGTTTGATGACCTCGAAACATCTTTCGCTTAGTAGATCCTTGGCGCTACACATCGAATTCTAAGCTACTTTTATAAAATGCTCTAACCGTCGCACCAAATAATATCGGATCCAATTCGAAGATTAAGGAACAACGCAATCTGTAACATGAACCCCTAGCGCCGGGTAGCGCAACGCGTCTTAGAGCGGAGCAGGCAGTGTCTTACGCGAGCATCTGTCCAGGTCCGGCGGCTGTTTTGCTATTAGCTAATCCAGAAATTTCCGAAGATCAACGCATTGTTTAATAATGCTCTATAGAGTATTAAACGGCTTATGCTTTATAGATACTTTTATATATACTTAATTACCTTATTTCTTTTAAATCATTTTTACACATTTTACTTTATTTCACCAATTTAGACTTTTTAACATTATCATCGAAACTAAATATTACTAAATTTCTTTCGTATGAAATTGAAAACAGGGATCTATACACAGTCTAGTGACATCCTTGCACTCTAATAACTCATTGCCTTCGGAGGAATTTTTCCGGGAATGTGAACAAACGAGCATCTGTCTCATTTTCTTATCAGTTTCTTCTGAACAAATTTTGGAAAATTCTTTCAGTAATCTTTAGATCAATATCTGAATATTTTGCAGCATTTTGCTATTCATGCTCTGTTAAACATTTTCGACACTACGACATTGCAATGGTGAAAACAGAAAGAATTCATGTCTAACAAGATCTAATTATTTTCTAAAAACTGAATTGCAAACCAGAATACCCAACGCTTTAGCGAAAAAAAAACTTCTCTACTTACAATAAACAACTACCCGGTACAAATTTAAAGAGACGTCATAAATCACGCTATTCGGAAACATTTATTTCCCCTTTTGTTTATATAATCAAAAACACGTGTATGTGAGTCATGCTTCTCTCATTTCGAATAGTCTAATGTACACTGTATTGAACCATATGACATACAGTGCCATCTTGTGGCAGAAATTATAGTTTTTAAAAATGTTCCAGGACACTGCAGAATACGTGACAGTCGGGCTGAACGGGAAACGCTCTGGCACGCTGCATGTCGGCGGGGAAGTGAGTGTGTCGTTGCTGGCACGTAGACGTGACAGTCGGCACGAAGGGTTTACTGAAATAGATAATTAGATAATTTTAGCTTAGCTTATACCATCCGTTATACATTAAACGTGCATGCGTGCGATCATTCCGGATTATGAGCGTCCAGATTGACGACTTTTGACTGTAATTACTTTTCAAAAATAAAAAAATTAAAAAAAAAAAAAAAAAAAGGATTTTTATTAATGAAGAATCTGTTATCAAACAACAGAAAGTTGTGCTTAGTGTTCACTGATAATAGTATCAAAAGGTAAAATTAGTAATGTTCTTAATAATCTGATTTTTGACATGAACATTAGTATTAATTAAATCAGTATTATATCAGTACTTTTATTCAGTTTCACTTTCATGTAGTAGTCATTTCACCTACTAAACTATGACTATACTTCTACTTAATTATGATTGCAACTTTTTAATATAGTTGTTACTTACCTATGTTTAATATTATCAATTAATACATTTTGACTGTTTTGAAGAATAATTTTAAAATGTTTTGTTTTCTAGGAAAACAAAGCATTCTTTTTTGAAACCAGTGCAAAGACAGGTGAAGGTATAGAAGAAATAATGAATACTCTCTTAAGGTATTGCTATCTTGTTATAAATGTACTTATTAAACTTTCTGTCTGATTATTTTCAGTTTTGAAAACTTCAGTGGTAAAGCTTCTTAGTAATTACGCTGATGACTGCATGTAATGCTATCAAAATGGCTCTGCAGTTTTCCAATAAACTATACTTATTCATAATTTCATCAAATCTTAATCAATTAAAATTCCTGATTTTTCCTTATCTATATGCAACATCTTCCTATGCTAGCATTAATCACAGGTATCTAGATAATTAAATTCAGTACGAATCTTCACTTCTGAGGCTGCAGTTTATTATACACTGAGAAAGATTAGAACATAACATGTCTATGACATTTTAAAAATAACAAGACAATAAGAATGGAATAAAGTAATTCCAAGTTTAAGACAATATGGTAGTTTTTATTCGTTTTGTATAGTCATTCATGCGTTAAACCTGTGCAATACTGTAATAGATGTAACTAGTCCATTCTACAACATATGCCTTCACTCTCGTTGAGTTATGTTCGTATTCATCCAAGTGTAGTATATTACATTATAAAATATAAATTCCTTGCTGTCTAAACTTCTAGGCGTAACTGAATGGCATTTCATGCATGACGTGGCTCGCTAAAAATATGCGTTTCAGTTCAGCCCCTCACACATGCAGTGAGCTTAGCTCTAAGCTAAGCATTCGCTGGGACAGTTCTCGAACTATTGTTACAGACAGCATATTTTGCTCACCATGAGTGATATTTTTAAAGTTATTTATTATCTTGAGTTATCTTGAGAATGCATTGCCTACTTGATGCATAAATGGTAGAAATATGGGTCTAATGATAAAGTTGAAGTATGTAGTACTTTTCAGATTCCGGGAACAATCACGAAATTATTGCTAATCATAATTTATGCCACCACATACAGGAAAATGTAATATATGTCATAGATAAATTTACAATGCAGGTTGATTGCAAAGTGATATGAAGAATGAAATCTAATAATCTTGTTTAAGGTTCTTTATAGGCACATTTGTGTTTGTTTTAATTGGGTTAATACGAGGGCTATTCACAAAGTAACTTACATTTCGCTGCTGCGCAGCAAGAGTTTGAATCAATTTCTAAATAACCTTGAATTTTTACTAAAGCGTAAACATAAAAAATTATTCCCCAATTTCATTCAAATCAAATCTAATAAAAAATCTTTCAGTCGCGTTTCAAGAATTCTGTTAAACTGCAAGCTTGCCTTGCTTCGATCCATCATAAGGGATACATATCTACAGTTATCCAAAACTGAACATGAGCTATGAAGCTTCATCTGAAACTCGCTAATTCATATCCAAAATCCACTGCCATTGAACAAAAGGCTTGGTCTAGAACTGGAAATGTGGTTAACCATCATAAAAATACTCTTGCATTTAAATTCCAAAAACTTCCTTTTACAGTCTTCCAATTTAAGTAGTTCAAAAAAATCTTTCCACTGTAAATATTAAGCCAATACTAATTCAGAAGACAAACAATTTGTAAATATAATGCTGATTTTTGTTGTTTGTCTTCTGAATTAGTATTTATTCGGCGTGTTATTGTGTCTTAATTAAGCCAATAGTTAATATTTCGAGTGTTAGTTTATCAGAAGAACAAGAGAGAATTCTAAAATGTAATTTTAACTTCTCACAAACCTCAAAACCCTTGACTCCAAAGATTTTGGCTCCGAAAAAGCTTTGAAGTTCAGTAAAGCTTCAGATACACAGAAAGAAATGACTAGGAATTTTATCACTCATAATGTAAAATTCAATAATAAACCTTTGAAACCAAATCTAACTGCGAGAGAAAGAGCTACAATGTGCGAGATTCATTCTAACCCGGATATTGTCATTTCAAAGGCCGACAAAGGTGGCCAGATAGTCGTCATCATGGATAAGAACACTTCCATCGATGGTGTCACTAAACTCTTAAAACGAAGGACCATATAATCCGATCCCTAAAGATCCTTCACCTTCGGACTTATCCAAAAAAAACTGCGATCAAATCTTCGCAAATCATTTCAAGCAACTTAAAACATTCGCTTATCCCCATCTGTTGCGAATTGTGCCAGATTATATGCTCTTCCGAAAATTCATAAAAGTTGTTTTTCTTTCCGCCCTATTGTATCAAATTTAGGTACTACCTCGTATCCGTTAGCTAAGTATTTAGTTTCTAGATTTTTAACTCTATTAGATAATAAACATTTACACTATAAAACATTAAATAGAGTTTGTAAAAAAGTTAAAAGCATTTCTCTTAGAAATTTACTAATGGTTTCTTTTGATGTAAAACCATTATTCACCAATGTTCCAGTGGAGGGTGCATTAAATATGTCTAGAAACCAGACTTCGTGAATTTCATTTCTCTTGCATTGAAATTGATGAGCTAATTTGCCTCACTTTATTTGAAACAAACGCATTTTGCTTTCCAAAATAAGAAATTACAAGCAAACTGAGGGATTAGCCATAGGAAGCCCCCTCAGTCCCATCCTGGCTGATATCTACATGCATTATTATGAATCAAAATTATTTGAAACTTTAAACTTCCCTGTATGGTTCTGCTATGTAGACCATACTTTTACCCTGTTTGAAGGTAATAAAGATAATTTAAATAAAGTTCTTTCAACAATGAATTCCATTGATCCTTTCATTCAGTTAACTTTTGAACTTGGGACATGCAATTCTCTTCTGTTCCTTGACATTCTGGTCCTACGTAACACATCCAACTTTAGTACTACGATTTACCGTAAACCTTCATTGATTTACCTTCCACCACACTTCAAATCATGTCAGCCGACTAAACAAAAGTTAGCTTCCTTTTATTCCTATGTTTTCTGTGCTCTTCAAGTTTGATCCTCCAAACTATCCCTTGATGAAAAACTAAATTATTTAAAAGCAATAGCTATTGACAATTCTCATCTCAACACACCAAAAGGCACACTCTTGTTTTAGGAGATTATAAGAATTCTGTTGTCATTCCCTTCTTTCCATCAATTAGCTATAAAAATTGCACTTATTTTACAGAAATTTAACTTTCGGGCCATTTATTCTCCCAACAATAAAATTCAGAGTTCCATACTCAAGTACTCCATTCAGGATATGAATTATTGGGGTCCGGATTAACGACTTTTGACTGTATATCTTTTTTATAGAGCAAGTGCTGTTATCAGGAACAAAGAAGCAAAAGTCATTGCAGCTGTCAAGCTACAAAAATGATTGTAAGTCAAGTGAGGTGTATTGAACTTTTAATTAATAAAAATTTAGGAAAATTAGAAGTTGCATTTTGGCTCTCATTGAGCCTTGCATGTATGAAACCAGCCAAATTTCCAAAAACTTTGTTTACCTAATGAAATATTTGGTGCAATTGTTTTACTTTTAATATCTAATCATATATTTTTTTTCAATAGGTTGTTACTATGTAAATTTAATAAAAGCGAAGAACTTTCATGAAAGAAAATGGAATGCATCATTAGTCATTCAAGAAAAAAATCAGCAGCTCAAAAGTTACCTATGTATGAAAATAAAAACAATGCTGTATATTTTTTCATTATATATTTTCTCACTATGTGTTAAAGAAGTTATTATTTTATGTTTTAATTCTAATAAAATGTGCAACTTTATTCAGTAACTTTGTTTTATGTGTAATTTAGTAAGGTCAACCAGAAATATTCTTCTCATAAATTAATACATCATTCATTAACCGTTTGACTGCTATGCAAAAGCGCTGGTTCATTTGTCTCGAAAACCACGACACAGTTAGTTATTTTAGAATGCACTCATGTTACAAAGAACGAGCAAGGTCAGACTACGTACATTCACACCCATGGAGCAAAAAAGACATGCAGAAACTCGCAGCGCATAGCCGCTGCGTCGTGGTTTTCGAGACAAATGAATGCGCCGCATGGCAGTTAAATGGTTAAAATAGCTGAGGTGTTTCTGTCAACATACTTTAATTTTTGAAACCATGCAAATAATTGCTTTGTATATTAATTCTTAGAGTGATATTATAGTTTTTAGACTTTTATACAAGTATAGGATAAATATCTTGGCAGTTTCGTACCCAATAGGTCAGAAAGGATTGAAATTAGTATATGACATGCGATTTATCTGTATCATATTTTAGAATCCATTTTCTGCAAATCAATCTGTTACATACATGCTCATACTTTTATTATTTTCAAGTTTTTGTTTTAGTAAATTAACTGTTCCAATCACATATATCTACATAACAGTTTTAAATAATCAATATTTCATATGAAATAAAAATCTCACTTTATCAATATTAATAAATTGAAACAAATTATGAGCACTTAATTCATGCAAAAAAAAGGGAAATAAAATTTTGATTTAAATGCCAGTAAAGAAGCTTAGCATCAGCAGCTATTTGGGGCAGAAAAAAATTACAAAAATTAGCTTAAATTAAATTATTAATTAAATTAGCTTTTGAAAAATCACAACGGTTTTGGATTAATCAATAGATGAATAGGTAGAGGTGTCTCTCTTCATTATAGGAAAAAGTATAATAAATTTTATTAGTATAAAGTTATTTGTTGTTATTTTTAAATATTGCAAATACACTGGTTATCAGAAATTAAGGAAAAATCACGATTACTGAAAAAGTTACATGTAGAATTTAATGAAACTTACCACAATATGCAACACATAGTAAGATATCAAATAACATAACTAAGCTGGCGGATTGAGAGCAGCTAGATGTCTCCCAAAAGCATCGCAAACTTGCTCTATGGGATTCAAGTCCGGGGATCAAGCTGGCCACTCCATGCGCATAATTGTTTCCAGTTGAAGATAATCATCTACGATGCGAGCCCTGTGTTGTTGTCGTCCTGTAACGGGAAAGCATCACCTATTACCTTGGCATATTGGGCGCACATAAACATCAAGGATGTCATCTATCATCATTTCAAAAGTATTGCAGAAACACACTTACTGTTGATTAAAGGTAGGTTACATAGTAAGATTCCCTATTTCAAGAACGATTTTTTTTTTTTTTTCATGCAGTCTTGATGCTAACAGCTCTGAAGCTTTTTTAGATAGTCCCAAATCTGGTGCTAAATCATTCAACTCACACTGGTCGAATCCCTATTAAATGGAATCACCTTCAATTTCAAAACCTTCATTGTTGGGGGGTCAATTCGATATTCACCAGAATCGCATTCCTGCATTTCCAAAGAAAGTAATTCTTTGAAGACTGGCCCTGAGAGTTCAACTGAGTGAGCTAGTTGATGGTAAACTATGATACTGTATATCTTGACGCTATCACTATGCAAAAGTAAAAATCACTTTTGTGATTTTGGGCACTCGCCAAATCATAGGTACATCAAATGGAAATTTAGAACGTGTTCCCTTCATCGACATCTGTAAATTCTCGAAATTAAGCAAAATAGGCTTGCCTGACAAATATGCTAATGGTTTTTTCTTTGACTGGGAACGGTAAAACTGCCACATATGTAACAAAATGGGACGTTTTAGGACGTTTAGGTTGTTTTAGGACTTCATACGCAAACTATCAGAGGCAGGCATGAGGAAAGGTTTCAGTTCATACATAAATAAAAACTAAACATTGCTAACCTCGTATACAAGCAAGAACTCTACATCGGAAAGTGCTTCTCTATACCAGAATGACACACGTCTCACTATAGTATCTCAGGTGTAACTGAACTAGTCTCGGCAAGTATGCATCTATCGCTGGTCTCCGATGGCATTATTCTCCAAGTGCCAAGGCAAAAGGTTTATGTCAGCAAGAAGAAAAGCAATCTTGAGAAAAATTTGAAGAAAGGTTTAACGTTTCAATGGTCTTTAGTCCAATTTCGCATTATTTTCATTGCCATTGAGAAAGAATGCAATACTTATTAATATACCTAAATATTTCTTATTTAATAGTTACAACTTTCAAACACATTTTAAAATAATCTACTTCATCATACCAACATGAATCTTCTTTGGAAACCGTAAGCACTGACATAAACTGGTAATTCCTTTTACACACTGCAGAAAAAGTGCACAAATCTCTGCGCATTTCGCGTCTTTTCACCTTCATTCTTATATATTTGAGTGCTGATTATCCTATATCAGATATATCCTATATTAGATAAATATGATCTATCACAACATCAAAGTCTATTTGGCAGTACATAAATTACAATTATTATTATTGCCAGTAAGAGCAGTAACGCTGGAAACTGATTCAAAATATAAATAAACTTTTTTACAAAGCAACTTATTAAATCCACGTAACTTCTCTTTCCTGTTATCCATTACAATATTTATATCTTATAAAAGCTAAGTAATGTATCGCTTTTCCTGTTATTCACCCTAAAATTTTCTTCACCTCCCGTCACTCGTGGTGAAAACAATTCTCTGATTAGACGTGCCTTTGACTGCGTTATGTTTGTACATGTTCAGTATATTGCTGCGAGCGACAGGATCATAACCCTTTAATTGCTTAAGACGTATATAAACGTTTTCGGAATTTCCTTTAAAAATGCTTTAGACGTGTTTACACGAATTTCAAATTCGAAAAATGTTTAAGACATGTATACACGAAGCCCAAATTGCTTGAGACGTATTTAGACGATGCAATCTGGTCTTCTTTCCCTTACCTTTCTGCAGGCGGCTGTCAGTTGACACAAAGCTCTTAATAGAGTGTGAAGTGCTTGAAAAGAACACTTTACGGAAGAGTTCTGAGAGTGAAGTATCATTGTCAGACAGCAGGTGTGTGTTATCTTTTCTACGACTGCAAGCTTTTAATGAAGATAAATTGTTTTACAACCGTTTGTTTGCCTTGTGGTTATTTATACAAATGAAAATCAAACAGAATCGCTCGTTACAGTACATTACCGAAATTTAGAAGAAACTGGGAAAAAATAATTGTAACGTAAGACGTACATTTTAATAAATCATATATTATACAATCAAATATTTTATTTTTGCATTAAAAGTTGATTACAATTTCTGATTCGTCAAGAATAGGAAAAAATATAAAATGCTGCAAATATCTATCTTGTTTGCCCTTGCATTTCAAGTGCCGGTGTTTTTAATGATATATTCCTTTTTATACTTTGAAATATGTAAACTGTGCTTTCAGCATGCCTGATTTTTGTACTCGTATATGTGGCTGTGTGTTCCTTATAAACGCGAACTGACATATAAAAATTTCTTGAATGTCGAGAGGAAGCTATTCTATTCGAAAACTTCAATCAAATCAAATAAATTCATATACCGAAGGAATTTCTTGAAATATTTGTTTTTTAAATTTTATTATTAAAATTCCGTGTCCAAATGTAGGATCAGGTAAAAAAAATGTTTGCACTCTTAAGCGTGTGGCTCTGAGACTTATGGATGGTCATAAGAAAAGCAAGTTTTACAGGAAATTGTCTACGTCTCAATTGAAACGGCAACCCTGTGCCATGGCAACTTCACCCCATTGGCTAGTACAGTTACGCAAGCAACCAGTAAACTATCGGCGACAAACAGACACTTAAGCTACGCAAGCAACGAATAAACTATCGGCGACAAACAGACATTTAAGCCATATATATACATATATGAGGTGAAGTAACATCATCTCCTCCGAAACGGCTGGCCCCCGGGCTTAGCGAAGCACACCGTAGGATTCCGCAGGTCCGTGGCACGCCATTTTGACCATTCGCGCCTTCTTGGGACTAATTAGCCGTGATATTAATTAAAAACTAATTTTTCCCTACATTTTTCACTTTCTTTCATGGGTTATCCCTATTACAGGAATTTGGCTACGTGCCAATTTTTTTTCTCTCGAATATCTACGGAACGACGCCGAATCAAAATTCGAGACGCGTATCCTCGGATTCTAAAAAATTCTCCGAATCCACAGATATCATTCTCATCTTTGTACGATTTTAATCGGCCAAGATATTCATTAAAAACTGCGGAAACGTCAATTTCCGCGGTCATTTTTCCGAGTGGCAACAATAAACTATCGGCGACACACACTTTAGCCGCTTGTAATATACTAGAAAGCCCGCGGTCATACAAAATAACCGCTGTTCTAGATATTATAAATTGTAATTAAAATGATTTGTACAAAGGTGTCTGCTAATTTAAAAAGAATTACCCCCCTAGGGCAGGCGGCGAGGACGCCCCTTTGCTTACCGCCACACGGGGTTTCCCCTTCTACTTGCTTAATTGCGAGTGCAATGAAGGAAACCACTGGCGGTACATTGCTTAAGAGCCACCGCTAGCTCAATAAATAAAGGGGATTTAAATAATAAAATGTTAATTCACATGTCAAAGATCTCTTTGTACACAATTCTTGTGTAGATCTTTCCATCATTTTTAAGCTCGCCTTGCAGAGGACCATCCATTATTTTTAATTTTACGTCCGTTCTTTCACGAACTTTTGAACAGGCAACGTAAAGTTTACAGTGTCCAAATGCAGGCTCAGGTAAAAAAATGCCAACACGCTTAAGCGTTTGACCCTGAGACTTAATGATGTTCATAGCAAAGGTAAGTTTTACAGGAAATTGTCCACGTCTCAATTGAAACGGCAACCCTGTGCCGTGGCAACTTCAGCCCATTGGCTAGTACAGTTACGCAAGCAACAGTTATGTATAAACTATCGGCGACAAACAG